TTCTCTGGCTGCAAAATTTAGGTTTGACTTGCAGACTGAGAATTGACTTACAGACCAGAAAAAAACCAAAATGGAACAAAAACGGCCTGTTACGGGATTAATCGGTTTCCAATGCACTGTAGGTCAATGGAAACTTGATTTACAGACTTTTTGACTTGAGAACCGCCTTCCAATACGGATTAAGTTCTCAAGTCAAGACCCCACTGTAAATGTTTGCCATATACAAGGTATCCCTTCTTTCCTTCAAAGTGTGGGATAATTGGAATATATTTTCCAAACATGCTCAGGGAAAGGTTAGATTTTAGCTCACTTGGCCTATTCCACCCTCTTGCTTGCTTTTCCCCAGCGGCCTAAGACAGCGCAGCGCATTTCGCTACTAAATCTTGACTGCGGGTACCAATTCTTGCCTTTAAGCCTTGGACTGCAACTCCTAAAGTAAGGCAGCTGCCATTCCTTTCTCCCAAACAATCTTGGGAACACTAGTTTGAGAAGTTCTGTAAACTTCCTGAGTTTAAGGAAAGATGATGGAGGTGTTTGTGGTGCAAGATGATTGCCCCAGCTTTTGGGTGGCAAGGGTAGAATTTTGGATTTGATGGTGCCCAGAAGAGTAGATACTCAATGTGGTGTAGTTGATAGAATGGTGGATGAGGGCTCAGGAGGCCTGGGTTTGAATCCCTGCACTCAGCCATGGAAAAGGACGGGGGAATTTTTTTTTTTAAATTTAGGCACCCTTCAGTCTCGAAAGACTATGGTAACGTGCTCTGTATGGAGGACTTGGATCAGTTCCATTTCTTGGGGGAAAATGGAACTGATAAAATCACTCCCTAAATGTTTCACTGACCTTAAAAGCCCCATTTGGGTTGATGCAAGTCCCTTCCGATTTTGACAGCACAGAACAACGACAGTATCCATAATTAATATATTACATATTACCTAATCTTGGGGTTTTATTGGATGGTTTTGGTCTGTTTATCTGATAAAGAGCCTTCAGTCAATGGAGACTGTTGACCTGAACCAGGAAACTAGTCTGAAGCCATCAATGCCCTGTTTGAATTAAAATGCCCATTTTGTTACCACTGGCTTGTGTGTATCTCATGGGTTTTCATCATCATGTCGTCTTCCCCTCGAAAAGGGTCCCAGGATGAATTTCAGGTCTGGCTGAAGTGATGCAAATCTGTAAATCCATACCATATAACCTGTCTCTGTGCTGTATTTTCCCTTAATTTTTTTTTTAAAAACATTCCAGCTATCAGTTCAGGGGAAAGACAAATAACTGAGTTCCAGATCAGATCAAACCTGGGTCCTAACTAGAAGCAAACCTGCTTAAACGTAGATGGTTGTGTTTTGGACAAAGAACAAGAACCCTGCAGAAGGCCGTAATGCTACAAAAATTGAAGGCCACAGAGTAGGAGGAACACCAGACGTGAGACAGCTTGACTCAGTAAAGGAAGCCATGGTTTTGACTTCGCAAGAGATCAATTGGAGATCATTCATTGGGTTGCCCTCCTTGACACCCGCTATAAATTTAGAAAACTGTCTTGGATTTTTTTGGGGGCTGGATAGGGCGGAAGCAGATATGTACTGTATGTGTTTGTGTCTGGGTGCGTGATTGTTCTCCTTGGTGGTTTGTTGTTTCGTTTTTGCCTCTGATATATTTTTGCAGATCCTTTGGCTCTCGGTTTTAACGTAAACTGTGTCCAAAACGGGGACAGAAATCGGTAGCACAAATCCAGAGAGAAGATCCTCTGAATTAAAGTTAGACATCTCAGCAGTTTTCCCCTCCAGCTCCTCATTTTGGAGCAGTTTGGCTTGTTCTCCTGCTTTTCCAAGAAGAGCTGGGGACTGCGGCTGGAAACAACGCTCGGCGGGTTCAAAAGTCTGCCTTCTTGGCTCTGCGTTGGGTGCTCTGGTGGTCTTGGTCTCTCTCTCTCTCTGGGTCACAGATTCGCGCTGAACTTTGTAACAGAAACAGTCATGAGCGTTGGGAGTTGCGTTTACACTTTGGCCCTACAAAAAGTTTCTGCTCAGCTAAAAAAAAAGTTTTATAAGCTGACAGTTGTTCTGCAGAGCTGACCTAGATTTCCATATTAATTCTTTGCCGGAGTTCCCAGATTCTTCCAAAATGTAGATGGAGCTGGGCGTTTTGGGGCAGAGAGCGAGGGCGTGAGAGAGAAAAGGCTGGGTCTGGTCACTTTTGTGCATGTAAAAAATTGATTTTTAAAAAATATTTTTTATTTTATTTTAACTACAACATAAACATACACATAAAATACATAAAACAAAATACAAATCGACTGTTCCCCACTGCCCTAGTCGAGACCCCTTGCAGTAATCCTCTTCTTCCTCTTATCTTTATTCTTCTTCTTTTATTATTGTCCTCTTCTCCAGAACTGCATTGATTCTTGATTTGGAGCTTTCCCTTTTCCTCTTGTTAGCACATATTCAAGAAATCTGCCCCATAGATCATAGAAATTATTCTTTTTCATCTCTCCTTTCTTTAACCTTTAATTTACAAGTTATCATTTATAGCAATATTCCATGTTTCATATAAATTGACTTCCATTCGAAATTCAGACTTTGGTTTCCAGTGCCTAGCTATTATGAATCTAGCTGCTGTTAATAAATTGACAATCAATTCTTTAGTCATCTTATCATATTCCACATTCTCAAATATTGATAACAGAGCTATCTCAGGGTTACATTCTATATCTTTTTCACATACGTCATTTAGTTCTTTAAAGATTACGTTCAAAAATTTGTCCTTTTTCACGCTCCCACCACATAGGAAAGCGTGTAACGAAATTTGATTTTATTGTACCATGAAGTCTTTTCTGCATAGCCAGACGGAGGGGAGACATGGTGGGTGGCTACCAAATTCCTCATCAGGCCACCTGGAATTAGATGTTGCAGGCATCTACGTTCCTGGATTGGAGCCAGGCATGCCTGCGTCTTTTCAAACTTGACTTTGCCGCCATGAGGACTGACGACTTGAAACCCCATTCTCAACAGCCTAGTTCCACTCTTTTAAGGGTCAGGAATGGGAACATGGCTCAGTTTTTTTTTTCCTTCCAGTGACTCGGGCTCCATTTGGAAATCAGAATCACCCACCCCTTTATTCTGGAGGGTGGAGGGGGGGAGCTCGTCTTTTATAGAGGCTCAGGCTTGGGACTCGAACTCAGGTCTCGGACCCAAAGATTTGCCAACCTCTCTGTCAATGGCTAGGCCACGTCGTCTCTCGAGGGCCGGAAAGCTTTCCGGGAAGCAGGACGTTGAGCTCCATAGACCTTTGCTGACATCCGGTAGAAACGCTCTTGTAGGAAATAAGTAGGAGGGTTTGCTTTGAAAGCAAGCTAGAATTCTTGGTTGAAATAGCTGGAATAACTCTCGCTCGGTGGATCAAGGCATCGCTCTGCCCTGGGGGAGTGGGGTGGGGGCGAAGCCTTGCTTCACAGGCTCCCTCGGCTTCTTGGAGAGGCAGGTTTGAACCTGCAGTTCGAATTGTCTCCACCCATTGAGTCCTTTCCTTCCTTGCTAGACAGCTGTCGGCGGCTGATCTGTCACCGATTGGGGCTGGCAGAATGCTCAGTTCTTCTGTTCAAGAAGAGAGTATCCAAGCCTTTGTGTCCTGCCTACCTATAGTCCTGACATTCTGGATAAATCCGAATTATTTGCTTCGAGCTGCAGAGGTACGCTTGACAGGATGGGGAAAAGCCTTAGCAAGCATCTCAGAAGACCGCAGGGGTTTGGGGGCGGTTATTTGGTGGGTATCGGATTTCCCCTCTTGTTATAAGAAGCAAAATAGATCCGAAGGGGAAAGGCAGTGGGGTGTAGTGTTTGGAGTGTTGTTCTAGTCGCAAAATGAATCGTGAAGCTCACGTGCTGATCTGGGCCCCCCTGCATCTCTGAATGGGATCTACCTCACAGGGTTGGCGTTGGTCTAAAATGGGGAGGGGATATCTCACAGTCTGGAGAAGCTAGACTTTTCTGGACTGTAATTCCCAGATTGTTCCAACAATCTGGGAATTGTTCCAACAATCAAGGGCCATTTTTATTTAGAAGTGGAGGTGCTTTGAATTCAAGGGGTATTATTTCAGGGGTATTAAACAGGCATGCCTCTGCCAGGGTTCCTAATAAAATATGTCTCAATTTGTAGGATGTGACCTTCTTAATGAGAAAGTGTGCCTCTGCGCCCATTGGTTGGCTCACATTGAAGGTATTTTGGATCCTTTAGGAGAAAAACATCAGCATGAAAATCTTTCAAATAAACAAATATATAAATGTTTTAAACAAACAAATACATACATACATACATACATACATACATACATACATACATACATACATACTCAAGAGTGTTGTATTTTAATAGTCACCCAAAATGTGCCTTTCAGGAAGACATATGCATTGATGGCTCAGTGGTTTCAGCATCCATAGTTGGGAGTTCGATTCCCCACGGGGCCTCCTTGATAGGGGCTGGACTGGATGACCCCCGGGGGATCCCTTCCAGCTCTGCAGTCCTAAGATTATTATGAACCGCCGAATAGCTCAGGGGTTGAGGTTTCGGGCTGCGGAGCCAAAGGCTGGGAATTGCTGTATTTTTCCGTGTATAAGACGCCCCCATGTATAAGACACCCCCCACTTTTCTAACCCAAAATTAAGAAATCTAAGTGGGACTTAGCAAATGGAGGGGAAAGCAGGGATCAAAGCCCTGCAGGATCACTTTGATCCCTGCTTCCCCCTCCACTTATTTTTGTTCTTTCCTCAGCTTACTTCCATGTATAAGACGACCCTCAATTTTTAGTCTAAAGATTTTAGACAAAAGTATAGTCTTATACATGGAGAAATACGGTAGATTCCTCCACGGTGCCTCTTTCCTCAATGATGATCCATTGGGGCCCTTCCAGCTCTGCAGTTCTAAGATGATGATGATTTCCAATAATCCCAATTACAAGGACAATCTTTGATTTCTGTCTTTATTTTGGCTCCCCCCCCCCAAGCAGGCTGCCATCTTTTGGGACCACCCTCTTCATGGCGTGAACCGCGAAAAGCGGCCTGGACCGGACGATCCACTTTGATCGAGTGAGACGGGGACGTTCTGGGGAGAGAAACAGAAAAAAATGGTCGGAAAGCTGAAGCAGAACCTCCTGCTGGCCTGCCTGGTGATCAGTTCGGCGACGGTTTTCTACCTGGGTCAGCACGCCATGGAGTGCCACCACCGGATCGAGGAGCGGAGCCCGCCAGCCCGGCCGGAGCCGTCTCCGGCGACGGAGTCCAAACCCGGCTGGGGTTTCCGAGCCAACACGAGCGCTCTTGCTTATCACAAAGACATGCCTTTGATATTTATTGGGGGTGTGCCCCGGAGCGGGACCACCTTGATGCGGGCTATGCTGGATGCCCACCCAGACATCCGTTGCGGGGAAGAGACCCGGGTGATCCCTCGGATCCTGGCCGTCAAGCAGATGTGGGCCCGCTCGAGCAAGGAGAAGCTGCGTCTCGACGAGGCCGGCGTCACGGACGAGGTCTTAGATTCGGCCATGCAGGCCTTCCTGCTGGAGATTATTGTGAAACACGGGGAACTGGCCCCGTACTTGTGCAACAAGGACCCTTTTGCCCTCAAATCGTTGACCTACCTGGCTCGGATCTTCCCCAATGCCAAGTTTGTCTTGATGATCCGGGACGGCCGGGCCTCCGTGCATTCCATGATCTCCAGAAAGGTCACGATTGCCGGCTTCGACCTTGGCAGCTACCGGGACTGCCTGACTAAATGGAACCGGGCCATCGAAACCATGTACAACCAATGTTTGGAAGTGGGCCAGGGTCGCTGCATGATGGTGCACTACGAACAACTGGTTTTGCACCCGGAATGGTGGCTGCGGATGCTTCTGAAGTTCCTCCACATCCCCTGGCACCCGGCGGTCTTGCACCACGAGGAGATGATCGGGAAAGCCGGAGGGGTCTCTCTTTCCAAGTGAGTTTCTCTGGGAAAAATTATCCCACTCCCTCTCAGTTGTAAACTTCAGCTGTCTTTGACTCTGGCTCCCATCAGCCAGCATGGCCAGTGGCCAGGAGTGATGACTTTTGTAGTTTGGAGGACCGCCAGTTCCTCGCCCCTACAAGTGCAGTGGCATTACCTCGAGCAGCAAACAGCTGCTAATTAACGTGTCCCAGATTGAATTCATGGTCACTTGCCGAGTTGTACAACTGATGCATGACTCCGAATTCAGTCAGGGTCTCATTAATTAGTGACTGTTTGGCACTCCCAAGTTACACCGTTGCATGATGTCGGCATGAATACAGTGATGCCTCGTTAGACAGTTACCCCGCATGACAGTTTTTTCGCTAGACATTGACTTTTTGCGATTCGCAAAACAGTGATTCCTATGGGGGGATTTCGCTGGACAATGTTTGGTCCTTAAGCTTGGAACCTAAGCTTCGCAAGACAGCGATTTAAACAGCTGATCTGCGGTTCGCAAAGCGGCTTTCCTATGGCCGATCTTCGCTAGACAACGACGATTCTTCCCTATTGGAATGTATTGAACAGGTTTCAATGCATTCCAATGGGGAAATGCTTTTCACTAGACAATGATTTCGCTAAACAGCGATTTCAGTGGAATGGATTATCATTGTCTAGCGAGGCACCACTGTATTCAGTTGGATTCTACCTGCGATCTGCAGTTGTTATTTTTATCTGTGATGGGGAGCTACCAGTTCATCTTATATACTGCCTTTGGTGGCAATTTTCTACAAATATTACTGGCTGGAACTCGACTTGCTGTAAAGGAGAACATTATCTTCTCTCTGGGTGAAGGTTCTGGACATTTCCAATCTGTTTCGGAATCATGTGTGAAAACTATTAGTAGATTAGTCTAAAGAATACGACAGAGACAGCCTGAAAGACCAATAAATGGCTTCCAGGCAAATTCAAACCTGGATTCTCATCAGAAATGAAAACAATTAATTCAGGCTGACTTATTTTGAGCGTATGATAAGACAGACCTTACTGGAAATGTCAATAAGGTTTGCAAAAGTGGAAGGCATTAGGAAAAGAGGAAGACTGAATATGAGATGGATTGACTCCCTAAAGGAAACCACAAGTTTTGAGTTTGCAAGAGCTGAGCAGGGCTATTTTGGAGGTCACGCCTTCATACGGTCACCAGAAGTTGGAAGCAGCCTGTGAAATGTGTAGTCCCCTCAAAGGAAAAAAAAGACATTTTCCAAGCTATGGAATTGGCTTAGTATTATTTGTTTGTTTTAAATATTTTTGCCCTGCCTTTCTCTTGAAAAAGGACCCAAGGCGGCTTACATCAACAAAAATATGACATTTAAAAGCCAAAAACAGCAAGTACACTAGTGTATTTAAAAAGACAGTCTAGTTTTTTGCTGGGCAAAATGATGTGTGTTGACATCTCCAGCGTCCCAATCGCTCAGTTGCACCTTATTGTTCAGTGGTGGCCGAAATGCGTTGCTGGATGAGAGTAATTAGCGATGCAAGGAGGATGCCGGAGTCGCTTGAAGGGTGAAAGGAAGGGCTTTGTCAGTAACAAACCCCATTTTTGTAAGATCTTTATTTTGGGGGGGGGCTGTCCTGGAAGTGAGTGCAGCATTTTACTCTTGAGAGAGAGGGGCGTAGGGCAGTTCCCAGAGGGTTGGGGTTGATCTATTAGTATTTTGAGGTGCTGTGGACAGAGACCCACACACCACACGGGTTTGCTTGTGTGCTGGAAATCTTTCATGGACAGATAATTCATCCATCCCTTCAATAAGCCAGCTGGCCCGTCCTGCAGAAGGAGGAACTATCAGTCCCATCAGCTTTTTGATGTGGGACAGACATGTGGGGGTTGCATGCTTCTTTTCCTTTGCCTCGGGTGGCTGAACGTCTCGAGATGGCCCCGAAGAGTCCAGATAAATGTTTCCCCTTTTTCTTTTGGGGTGGCGCTGGCAAAGAAGTGCAGTAGCTGCCACCACCTCCCCAAATTATGGAAAAATATTTGATGACTAGACCCGTTTCAAGCTTGCAACTCAGGGAAAAAAATCTTTAACAAACCAGAGATTTGTTTGCTGAAAACTGGGCATTGTGCTCTGTGTGTGGGTGTCAGTGTGTCCGGGTGGAGAGGACGGTTCCGAATCAAAACAGGAATTTTTTTAAAAAAAGCTCCCTGTTTCATCCTCCTCTCTTTCCTTTGGCTCCCTTGCTCTCCTCTTATGAAACAATATTTACTTTAAGCTCCTTTGGCATCGATTCCAAATTGGGTTTTTTAATTTTTTTGGGTTCGGCTTTGGACTCCTGCAAACTAGCTTCTCCCAATGGCCAAGTTTTTGGGCCACCGTGCCGGTCTTCTAGCAATTGTTTGGTAGCCTTCTTTCCTCGTCGTTTCCTCCCTGTGTGTGCAAAAAAAATATATTAAAAAAAATTGAACGGGTGCCGTCCAGACGGAGGGATTTGGCAGGCCTGCCGTGGAGCACGAGATCACTTCAGTGGCTTCGAGGCTCTGCCAGCGTGGCCGTTGGCACCGGCCGCCTGGCCATAACTAGTGCCGAAGGTTTGGCGCTCGCCCTCCCTTTAATGGGGAACAGCTGCAGATGCCTGAGCTTGTAGAGAAAAATGTCATTTCCACCCCCCCAAAAAATGGAGCTGGGCCAGCTTTTTTCCTTTCTCCCTGTAAGTGCAGTTCAAGAAGGGAAATGGTTTAGAGAGGAATGTTCTCTCTCTCTCTCTCTCTCTCTCTCTCTCTCTCTCTCTCTCTCTCTCTCTCTCTCTCTCTCTCTCTCTCTCTCTCTCTCTCTCTGTGTGTGTGTGTGTTTTCTTAACTACTTCCTCCCCCCCTTGTTATGCTGTGCAGATATGGGAAAGGTTATTAATGAGCTAAGCTTTTCACTCTGTTTTCCTTTATTTGACGTATTTTTACCCTACCTTTCTCTTTAAGAAGGACGCAGAGCATCTTACCATGATTAAAAGACAATATTTAAAAGTAAAAATAGTAAGTATACAAAAAGGAATTAAACATATTGATTAAAAATGGTAACTAAAATCAGTACGAAAAACACATTTAAAAACAACAGAACAAGACAATCCCCCCCCCTCCTGTAATGTGCCACCAGGCTGCTTCCAGTTTACGATGATCCTATAAACGAGTCCTTTCAAAGCTTTCCTATCATTAACAGCTTGGCTCCACTCTTGCAAACCCAAGGCTGTGGTTTCCTTTACTGAGTTGATCCATCTCCAATACGGGCTTCCTCTTTCCCTCCAACTTTCCCCAGCTTTATTTTCTGGTGCCTTTTGACTTCTCATGATGTGCCCAGGGTAGGCCAGTCTCCGTTCAGGCTCCGTTGGCTGCCAGTGTGGATCTTGTTAGGGGATCGGGGCCGGGTGGATCGAAGTAGAGCGAATTTGGGGCCGTAGGAAAGAGTTGCCAAAGCCGCAGGGCAGGGCTGGAGGGGAAATGCTCTGCTGGAGCTGGAGTTTCGCGTGTGACCAGAAGGCTTTTTCTCACCTGCAGTCAGAGAGACGCGGCATCTTGACAATCCATTAGAGGGGGCCGTGTCCAAGCTGTGTAGAATATTCTTCTATTTTCATCTGCCACAAAGGCCAAGGATCAGCGGGTCGGAAGGAAGAAGTCTTGGCCGCTTTCCCGAAATAGCATGGGCTGGCCAGGCACAGCTGCATGGGGGGGGCACACTTTTTGTGGGGTGGTTGCTTAACCCTTTCCACTTTCCCGAGTCCTGCCCTACGTGCCCCTCCAGGCCGTGCTCACACTTCTTATTCTCTTTGGACTACACAACCCATCAGCCCCAGCCAGTGGCCAAAGATGCTGAGTAGCATAGTCCGGGAAGATCACGAGGGACCCTGGTTTTATATTTCCAGATCTTCCTGGACTACGCTACCCATCATCTTTTCACTGAATCCACAGCCTCGGTCTTTCTACAAGGCTCCCTTGTAGGGTTCCTCTCCCCACCAGGTGAAAACCTTTTTCCCAGCCCTCCCCCCAAGAGGGCCGTCAGGGTGAAGGCCATGCACAGGAGGGAGCCGATAACACCAGTGTTTGCCATTTTTACCCCTCCCGCAGAGTCGAGCGATCCACGGACCAGGTCATCAAACCCGTCAACCTGGAGGCCTTGTCGAAGTGGGTCGGCCAAATCCCTGCTGACGTGCTCCACGACATGCCAGTGATCGCACCGATGCTGGCGAAACTTGGCTACGACCCGTACGCCAACCCTCCCAACTACGGGAAGCCGGATCAGAAAGTCCTCGAGAACACAAAAAGGGTAAATAAAATGACTCTTTTAAATTCAGCAAACCAACCTGAGCTTCGGAGATGGCCACCGGCCGCTACCTTCCCTTCTTCCTCATTAGTGCGGTTATCCCTGTTATTATTATGGTGATGATTGTTATTACTAAACGAACCCTACTGCAGGGTGCATGCTGCAAGCAGAAGAGATAAAGTAGGCTTTTTGCCTTAAATTGGGAAAATATTAGGGCCTCTCCACCCCACCAAGATCTATCTGTTTTCAGAGAGAGAGAGAGAAGGCTATGGTGAGCCTGTTCTTAATGAAACACAGCAAAATAACAAAGCAAAGGGTCTTGTAGCCTCTTTAAGATCAGAAACTGCTTGGAAACAGGAGAAGATTAAGCATCAGTTCTTCTGCAGGAAAGGAATCTGGTGACTGTCTGTTACCACTTCCTCCTCCTCTTCTTCAGGCTGATGATTTGACTTTTCCAGCATCTCGTGTGACAAACAGTTGGCATAGATGGGGTTGAGATTCCAATGCCCAGCATTGTTTGCCACGGGCAATGCTTGCAATGGCTCGAGGGTGTTTGAGGAGGGTAAAGCTGGTACCCGGTGGGTCTCCCTCGGAACTGCATAACAAAATAATGTGTAGTTTGGGGTGGAGGGTCTCATAAAGAAGGTGCCTCGAGGAAGACTCGAAGGTTGATCCCAGAGAGCAGGCAGGTTCCTGGAAAAAAAAACACTTGTTCCATCAGAGATGGAGGTCCTGATCCATATTACTTTCAGGGGGAATGACTGGTAACCTTATAATGCCTTGAAGATCATCCAGTTTCTTTTAATGCCAGAGTCAAGGGGCTAGTGTGCTCCATGAAAGCAAGGGCCATGTGAAAGCTTCTTAGCCTTTCAGTTGCCGTGGGGCTCTTTCCTAGGTTTCATATTTTAGCCATCTCTAAACTAATTTTTCTAGAAATCTGGGCTGACGGCTTGCTTTGAAGCTACGGCTGATAACGCAGGTAACCAGATTGGTTTTAACGGGTCTTCCTGATGATCCTCATACTCCTGTTTTTTGTTTGTTTGTTTGTTTGTTGGCTGATAACGCAGGCAACCAGATTGGTTTTAACAGGTCTTCCTGATGATCCTCATACTCCCGTTTTTTGTTTGTTTGTTTTTGCTGCTGGGATTAATTCAAGATGCTGGCTATTACTTTTAAAATGTTCACTGTCTGAGCTCCGCACACCCCTCTTCGTACCTGTGCTCCGAATTTTGGAGGTAAAAGCTTCCCCTCCCCTGCCATCGCTTAGAAAAGTTTGATGTTTGAATTCGCACAGAGCTTGGTGTTCTGCCAGCTGCTTTCATTGTCTGAATTTAGCCAAGAGTGAAGCCTTAAATCCTGAAAAATGTCTTGCTGTTTTGGATGCTTGGAAAAGAAAAAAAAAAGGCTTGTTCTCTTTGTTCATAGATTTGAAGGGGAATGGCATTACACTTGGCCTGATAGCTACATTTTGTTTTTTCCAGGTATATAAAGGGGAATTTCAACTTCCTGAGTTCCTTAAAGGAGCGCCACAGGTGAGTTCTTTTTTATGTGGTTATTTTAAGAATAGCCCTAGTACGTTTTCCTTTCACTACTGGTCAGTTCTGAAGCACCAAGGCTGAAGGTCATGTGCCCAAGAAGGTGTGTCGAGGCATACTAATACATTGGTTTGAGCAGTTCCTCGCCTTGATCGGAAGTATGCATTTTGGAGGCTGATGGTCATGCGCCCAAGAAGTTGTGTCGAGCAGGTCCTCGCCTTGATCGGAAGTATGCATTTTGTAAACCTAATGGCTCTTAATGGCCTGCTGAGGAGCGAGCCACCATCCCAAAAGACTTTGCAGTACAATAAATGACTATACAGTGGTGCCTTGCTTAACGGGCGCTCCGTTTAGCGATAAGACCGCATAGCGATGAACTTTTTGTGATCGCAAAAGCGAGCGCATTGCGATATTTCCTATGCAGTTTTTTCGCTTTGCGATGATCGGTTCCCTGTTTTGCTTGCCAATAATCGCAAAGTGATGATTTTTAACAGCTGATTGGCGGTTCCAAAATGGCCGCCGGGTAAAAAAAATGGCCACCTGCTGTGTTTAGGGATGGATTCCTCACATAAGAGGCAGCGAAAATGGCCGCTGTATGGAGGATCTTCGCTTTAAGGTGAATTTTAAGCCCATAGGAACGCATTAAACAGGTTTTAATGCGTTTCTATGGGCTTTTTAAAATCGCATAGCGATGAAATCACTTAGCAGCGATTTTTGCTGCACGGATTAACGTTGCTATGTGAGGCACCACTGTATAACATTCTTTCTAGTGCAATCCACGGGTATCCTTCCTGCTTTCGATCAGAATGGCATCTCCAGTTTTTAAGTCTGGACCTCACAGAGGTGTTCATGCTTTGTCTGGGCTATACCACTTGAATTACTGCCTGCGCTTTCATGTCACTGAATGTTCCAGAAAAACAGATTTTTTTTGCATAGAAAAATAGTTTGATGCAGAGGAAGTCTTAGCCAGTCAAATCCTCAACGCCCTGCTTTTCTACAAGCGGGGGAATATTTTTTGTTTATTAGAGGAAGCTTTCTTTAATGCGTGAATGCTTGCATTAAGTCCAAAAGATCTTAGTCCATAAAGAAATTGTTTTGATGAAAATCAGTCCACAGTCACTGTATATTAAAAGCAAAGCGTGCTGCTTATATACCGCCCCATAGCGCTTCAAGCACTCTCTGGGTGGTTTACAATTTAATTATGCAGGCTACACATTGCCCCCCCAGCGAGCCGGGTACTCATTTTACCAACCTCGGAAAGATAGAAGGCTGAGTCAACCTTGAGCCGGCTACCTGGGATTTGAACCCCAGGTCTTGAGCAATATATTAAAAGCAAAGCGTGCTGCTTATGTACCGCCCCATAGCGCTTCAAGCACTCTCTGGGTGGTTTACAATTTAATTATGCAGGCTACACATTGCCCCCCCAGCGAGCCGGGTACTCATTTTACCAACCTCGGAAAGATAGAAGGCTGAGTCAACCTTGAGCCGGCTACCTGGGATTTGAACCCCAGGTCTTGAGCACAGTTTTAGCTACAGTACAGCGATTTAACCACTGCGCCATGAGAAACCTCATGCGTGTTTTTTAAATTTTCAGTGGTTAAAAGTTTCTGGAAAGTATCTTTCCATATCCCCAGGCAATTGGCTTATGCCCAAGAGGTGATAAATGCTCGAGAGGGGGATAGCTCAACTTTGGAAAAGTTTCTACTGGAAAAATAAAGATCTGTGGCAGAGTATGGTTGAATCTCAGTGTTTGCAATGTTTATATATATGTTTTCTAGCTCAAGTCTCTTCTGCCCCATTTCTGTCATTTCCCCAATTTAAAACAAAACCGAACGAACCTGGGGGACAGAGTTTCAAAATGAAACAGAACCAAAACACAGGGATGAAATCAGATATATCTTTACAGTCATTGTCCCCTCGTATATGCCTTTTTAATATGCTATATTGCCAAAGTGCCCTCCTTTTTTTCCATCAAAGAAAATCCAGAAATAAATGCCTATTAATTTTGAAGGCATAAACCAGGTACATTCAAATTAAAAGTCAACTTGGGTGAAATCACAGGATATCTTCCACTCCTCGCACTTACTGGATGGCAGAAAGTTTTCCAAGAACTGTGAACAGACAGCTTTGGTGAATTTCTATGGCATGAACACCTCTGCTTTATGCACTGTATTTTTTTTTCCTTTTAATTTTCTTTGGGCTTCCTTTTGATTGCATAAAGCAATATGTAAAGGTAATGAACACGGACCCGATTGACCGACTGATTTTTGAGTCACATTGTGCCCTGTGCTTCTCCTGTTTTTATTTTTATTTTTTATATATTTTATCACTCAACCAGACTGAACAATAGAGGTCCATTTTGTGCAGAATCATTAGATCCTCAAATAACGTTGGAAAGGACCTCCAAGGCCATCAGGTCCAACCCCCTGCTCAAGGCAGGAATCCAAATCAAAGCAGATCTCACAGAGAGTGGTCCAATTTTCTCTTGAAGGCCTCCAGCGCTGGAACGCTCACCGTTTCCCGAGGTCTCGGGTTCTGTTGTTGTACTGCTCTAACAGTCAGGAAGTTTTTTCCTGATATTCAGCCAAAATCTGGCTTCCTGTAACTTGTGCCCATTCTTGTGTGTCCTGCACTCTGGGATCAACAACCGGTCTCTTCTCCCTGCAGCTGAGGAAGAAAAGAGCTCCCGAAGATAAAACGAACTGAGAGCAGATAAAGTCGTCCTGCACTCTGGGATCAACAATCGGTCTCTTCTCCTTGCAGCTGAGGAAGAAAAGAGCTCCCGGGTCAAGATAAAACGAACTGAGAGCAGATAAAGTAGAGCCGCCTGTGGTGTCTGTCCGTCTTGTGTTTCCACAGCGCAGCCCCCGAATTTAACTTAATTTTTCTTTTCTTGGCTTCAGGCACCCACCTTCCTTCCGAGAAGCGCTCCTTTTACACGTGTGCGTGCATGCATGGGCAAGCACCCTGGGATGGGTGAAAGCGGCTGCTTTTTGCCTCTTAGGCCCCCCCACCCTTTTCCCGAGCCGCTCTTTTGACTTGGCTGGCCGTACTCAGCTTGCCCCCGCCTGCACCCTGTCTGTCTCTTTGCGGCTTTGTGGGCTGCTCCTCCTTCCCCCTGGCGCTGAGTCCTAGAGGTTTCCAAAATCCACCTCTTACGCCCCCAAAAGTGATCAAAGTTGCTGCTCAGTCACCTGTATGGTACAGGTGGCAGCAAAGGGCATCCGGCCGTTGGTTTGTAATCCCCATCTGGGAGCCGTTCTTCAGTGGGGCTTAGTGCCCGTGAGCCCGAGGGTGACATGATGTGCTCCCCCACCTCTGGAGGTGGCCCACCCCTTTTTGGTGGGTCCTGTTTGAGGCTGATGGCTAACCCATAAGTAGAGGGAGTGTGCCTCACATAGAAAAGAGTGGTTTGAGTGGCTTAGGGGGACACTGAGCTTGCTAAAAGTAGAGAAGAATGCAAAGTATATGGGGGGGGGGAAACACAAAGAGGGAGCTGCGTCCCCCTCAAAAGAAGGCCAGTTGGTCTCTCCATTGAATTGTGATTGTTTCACAAGGGGGAGAGGAATAGAGGAATAGAGGATGGAATGAATTGGAATATATGGGCAAATAGCACCCTGAAGAAAGAGGACGTTTGTTACACCTGCCCTCTTTGACCCTCTTAGCCCCGGCAGGGCATCCAGTAAATTGAGACTCTCTCTATATATATATATATATAGTCTCAATTTACTGGGTGCCCTGCCGGGGCTAAGAGGGTCAAAGAGGACATATATTTGGAGTCTTTTCGAAGTGCTTGGGCCTATTTTGGCTCTCAAGCCCTGCAGGCTGCTCCCCCATCCTGAAAAAAGGGGGCCTTTTCTGAGAGTTTTATTCCTCTCCAAACCACCCCCACCCCTCGGAGGCAGGAATTTTGCTTGCACGGACCCTCTCTTGTTTAGACTAACTCGGGTCGCTTCTCTTGTTTTGTAAAAGAATGTCGGCTGTTTCTATGAGCACCAAATCTTTCATTAAAAAAAAACACCCACTAACACTTGTTTTTCCTTTTCCCCTCTTGATAGACCAACGCTGTGAAATAGAAGAGAAAAGTGTGCGACCGAATGTACGTAACTGGTAATAAAAGGAATCGCCGTAGTGTTGATTAGGACACAGTAATGGGACCAGTTTCATGGCAGGTTCGGGGTGGGTGTGGGTGTCTTAATGCCCCACTTGGGAGCGCAGACTTTACAAGCCTTCTTGAATGGCACTGGACGTAATGGCACGGTTAAGGCTGAGAAAAGTTATTCCCGGAGGTTGAGTGTGATGTCCTCCTTCTGGGAGAATGCGTAGCTGAAGTAGAGATAGGGAAAACAAATGGCCGCTTGGGACTACAGTTCCCATCATGCCAGGACTGAGGGAGGCTGGGGACTCCAATTTCATCGGTCCTTTCTTAGTGGAAGCCTGAACGATACAAGAGCGATGGGAAGAAATGCATCCTCCACCCGTTCAGCACCTTGGATAGGACATTTAAAGTTCCCACTAAAACTTGGAGCGGAGTAAAGCTGTAAGGAATCCCCCCCCTCTGGGCCGCAGCCAGGGCTGACCCGAGAAGCTTTGCTGCCTGAGGCAGCACAATAAAATGATGCCAGGGACACGTCTTGCCCAAGGTGTGGCGCTTTGGATAATTGGCCTGGAATGATGCGATGGGTGTATCTGCCGTGGAGAGAGATGCTTTATAAAAGTGCTGAAATTGTCTTTTTTTTCTGTTTTGATCAGGAATGTTGGCTGCCTTTTTAAAGAAAATGATGAAATCCGCGAGGAACCTGCTGGGCTGCTTTTATCTTAATATTTTCCTGTGGTCTTGGTTTTTGTTTTTTTAAAAAGGTTGTGTGTCTCTTTTTCTGTGGTTTTGTTTGTTCTAACTTGAAAACTTTGGTGTCTTCATTTTTGTGCCGCTGGCTCGGGCGCCATCCTAGGTAAAGGACTGAGAGCTGTTCTGTGTGAGGGATTGCAAGATCAGGGCATTACGGCGCGCATGATCCATTGAAAAACCTCCCTGTGGCTAAGCCTCTATTGTCAGCAGAATGCCTTCTTCTGTGCCTTTGATAGATTTCTACAATATTTACACAAGAGAGGTTACTGGTGGATTTTGAGACCAAAACCATCACCACAAAATTCCTCAGATAATGGCTAGAAATATTTTCCACCCCCAGAAATGCAGAAGGCAGCTGTGTTTGGGCTGAGCTGGCAATGAATTTTTCTGCCTTGCTTCCCTCACCTCCCCCCCAATCTTTCGTTCTTGCACTTTAGTTATGATGAGGGTAGATTAAAACAAGAACAACAGGATTCTTGCGATAGATTTGGGATGTGAAAAGTTGGAAAGCAGTTTTCTTAGACAGGTGCAGGAAACCTTGGATCTCCAGAAATTTTGGACTGCAACAGCCACCATCACCGACTGGTTGAAGTGCAAAGCAAATATCATCCCCCACTGCTTTCAGGTTGGCTCACTTTGTCCCTCTGGACCTCATGTGGGCAGTGAGCTATGACCACACTAGTGCCCATGGCACATGGAAGGTGGCCCTCCAGAGGTTGTTAGACTCCAAATCCCATCAGGCCTTGCTGATTTCTAGCTCAGTGGTTTAGGCCTGTTGGGAGTTCGATTCCACGCTTGGCCTCCCTTACAGAGGCTGGACTTGATGACCTATAGGGATGCCTCCCACCTCCGTATTTCTAAGATGATGATGATGAAAATTCTGTAGGGAGTTCGATTCCCCACTTGGCCTCCCTGACAGAGGCTGGACTTGATGATCTTATAGGGTCCCTTCCAGCTCTGAAGTTCTAAGGTGATGATGACGGCAGAGTTGTGGACTATATGTGCTCCATCCTTGAGGTCATCCAATATAGGCTTGCCAAGAAGAGAATGGGTCGTGATCAGATGATGGACAGAGAGGGAGGCAGGGATTATCTCCCACTCTCTCCAAAAGTGAGAATAGGGCAGTGGTTTCCAACCTTGGGTCCCCAGATGTTCTTGGACTTCAACTCCCAGAAGCCTTTACTGCTGGCTATGCTGGCCAGCAATTCTGGGAGTTGTAGTCCAAGAACATCTGGGGGCCTAACATCGAGAGAATGTAAAAGCTATTTGCACGGATTATCTGCCAGGGGTTATGTGCCCAGGCCAGATCCAGGAGAGATCTGTATCCATCCTATATATTGTCTGGGGTGGTTTCCTTTGCCCCACGCGCTCCCTTTTCCTACACGTTGCTCACTTGCTTCAGTCGACCCCCTACCCAGGAGGGAATCCTCCAGCGGCAACATGGAACAGAAGGGCCACCCTGCAGCGGTTCCCTCCTCTACCTCCAGCTGGCTGTCATCCTTGTACGCACCAGTTCAGAAATCAGTTATGACAACCAGTTATACAAAAATACAGCCGGATGGAGTATGAAGACCACTGCACAGTTCCCTTGGTGCACACCAATTTCTGTGACAAGGTCCGTGGTGCGGACATTTTGCCTCTGTGCATTTTTTTTTTTGCTTTGCCTGGATCAGATCGGAAATTTGTGTTCTTTTTAAATTTTGTGGAGAGTTGTGTCTGGGTCTGTTTCCTTCTCTCTCTTTCTGTCTCCCCCCCTCCAGTTTTAGTGACATTTGAACCTGATCGTGATTTAATTATTTAAAGAAATGATTTCTGAGAGGTGGAGAAGAAGGCTTGTATGTTTACAATCCAACAACCTTTTGTATTTTATTTTTCAAAATAAATTCATTTAAAAAAATACCCCACCCCCTTTTTTGGAATAACCCAAATGAACCATAAATAAGTGGGTGGTAGGGGAAAAACTCTTGGGAGGGGATTTTTAAAAAAATTCTATCCTGCTTATCAGGAAAGCTTTCAAAGCAGACAAACAATGTGTTATTTTCAAAATAACAAATAATTTAAAAGAATAGCAACTTAAAAGCTAGGGATAAACAAGTATACAAAGAATCCATTAATACTCAAGAGGATAAAGTGAGATTTTTAGCACCACATAAAGAGGAAGCAAAGAACATTAAGAATCATAATTAAGTGTGCTACCCAGAGTGGAGCGGTTTGCGTTACGCTAGTGTGAAATGGCAAAAGGATCTTGACCACTGCCAGCTCCACCTTCCAGCAATTTGTTTGATTCCACTTTAATGCTGCCCAGTTTGGTGCTGTTGCTTTTGTCTTGTGAGAACAAACTCCAGTTCCTCTTAGGGCCACACACAAAAATCTTATTATATTTCTTTATTTGAAATAGTTTTAGAATGTTTTAATTATTCTATAAAATTTTAATGTTTTATTTATTATTGTATAATTATTAATTATACAGTAGGAGATATGTCTACAATTATGTCTACGTCTGTGTTGAACAGGGTCATTCATGCTTGTGGTCGTTCTGAACCACCCAATGTGGCTTATGGGGACCCTAATAGGAGTTTCGAGGTATGTGAATAGATCAAGGGGTGGTTCACTCTTGATGGTTGCTGGCAAGTTTCCCTGGCCAAGGAGGGAGGGAGGGAATTAAACCCAGTTCTCCTGCATCTCTTATCCATGGTTAGGACCACCTCAAGGCAAAGAGGAATAAACATTTAACAGACATCCTTTGCTCCTGGGGAACGGATGCAAAGCAGCTGGAATCTTGATGTTGAAGGATGTGGATGAGGGCAGGAAGGAAGACGGACCAAATCTTTCTCAGCCCAGCTGACTCACAGCCATGTCGGGATAGCCGAAGATCTAAAACTCCAATTAACATCCCTCCTTCCTAAATGCATGGTATAAAATATAACAAATGGCAGTATCTCTGTACTTCTGTACCATTGAAATCAATGGTTGTATAACACAGATGATAACAATTTCCAAAGGCTGATTAGCTATCAATATCATGGCAATACTAAGACCAATTGCCCAGATCAATTGCTCTTCTGGAGGTTGAAGCAGCAGCTTCTGCTTGCTCTGGAGTGCTTTATTCGGCTGTCGCTCAATAAAACGTGTCAGTCTGTGAAGCAATAGAAGCCTCTTTGCTCTTGGCTGACACAGATGAATTTGCAAAAAATGTTTTTCAGCGACTGATGATGGTTGCAGGGCAGCCTCTGCTGGAAGGAAGGTGAAGAGCTAGCTAGCTACTCAGGGGAATGTAAAGCAAGTCCTGCATCTGGGAAAGTATTTTAGCATGATTTTTCTTGGCATTGCTCCATTAAAATAGGTGCCATAATAATTGACTTGGGCTTTAAGGTGCCATCGTGTGGTTGATGGTTTTAGCTACAGCAGACCAACAGCACTATGCCGGGAGGAACTGAGGTTTGCAGCACGAATATGGATCAATATTGAGCAATAATGAGGATTTGGTGCAGCTTCTTTTATTGATTAGTCCATAAGATAAATATAATGCTCATGAAATACAAAAGAATCTTTAGGGAAGCGTATCAGCACTTCTCCACAAAAAATTACAAGTTAATTCCATCCCTGCCTAATGGTTAAAACCACAGTGAGAAACTTTGAGCAAAGAGGAATCATGTTCTGTTTATTCTGTTGCTTCGTAAACCCTTGCCTTTCCCATCGCTGTGCTTGGTGATGTCACTGGTTCGCTGTGACATCACCAAGCTCTCCCTAGTGATATCACAGTGTGCTTTCCATCCCTGCCTAATGGTTAAAAACAAGGTTGAGAAACCTTGAGCAAAGAGGGATCATGCTGTTCTGTTTATTCTGTTGCTTTGTAAACCCTTGCCTTTCCCATCTGTGCTTGGTGATGTCACAGTGGTTCGTTGTGACATCACCAAGCAAGCTCTCCCTAGTGATATCACAGTGTGCTTCTGGGATATCATAATTACTGTGCTCCCAACATCCCAACTAGAGTGTCAGTCTATGACATCAATGTGACATCCCTTTACTAAATAACATCCCAACTAGTGTGTCTAGAGTCTATGACATCAATGTGACATCCCTTTATGACATCACCACAACACATAGTGACATCACAATCTCAGCCTCTGGCGCTAAAGTCTGAAAGAATGATACTGTACACAGTTGATCTGGCAATGCTAACACAAAGGCTCCCCAAAAAAGTTTACTATTGATCAAGCAACACAAAAGGAAAAGAAATCTCAAGTTTTGAAAAGTGTGATTTTATTATGGGTTTTGGTGTTTTTGCATAAATAGGCTAGAACACTGTTGCCACCCTGGAAAAATCTGATAGGGGTGTTGTTTATTATGACTCTTTTTCTGTGCCTCGAACTAATTGTGGAGCCTTATCGTTTAAAAAAGGGGATGTGGGGGGTTTTACATGGTTTCCATAGCTACGAAAGGGCCCAGGCAGAGGCCTGCATCCCGTTGCCATGGAGACGAGAAAAAGGCCTTGGACTAAAGCTCCAAGATGGCGCTCGCCCTCTGCAGGCTCCGCCCAGGAGGAAGAGGGAGGGGCGGCCCGCTCTGTCTCCACGGTAACCGAAAAAAGGGGAGCGCTAAGGCCCTCCCAGTGGTCCCCAGTCGCCATGGGAGACGGAAGGGGCTTTGAGCCAATAGGAGCGTCCCTAACAGGAGACGGGGAGGCGGAGCCTCCCTCATGCCCGTTCCGCCCATTGGCTCGCCTCCTCCCGTTCGCTCCGAAACTACCCGGATGGCGGGCGGAGGCGAAGGCGGGCGGACGGGGCCTTGCGTCAGGAGCGGCGGCGGCGGCGAGTCCCTCACCACGACGGGTTACCCTCGGAAACCGTAACCAAAGGTAAGGTTAAAGGAGCAGCTGCTGCTGCGGCCATGCGGTCCCGCCCCTTGCAATTTGTGGGCGGGGCCTGAGGAAGAGGAGCCGCGAGGGACCCGCCCCTTTCAGCCGAGGGAAAGATTGTAGCTCCGCCCTTCAGGTTCTAGCCCCTCCCCTTTTACCATAGCTCCTCCTCCCTCTAAAGGCTAGGGATCTTGCTGGGGAAGGAGGAGTTGTAGCCCCTCCTCTTTGTAGCCTCATCCTTGTTGGCTCCTCCCCTTTGGGCGGGGCTACGTCCCGGGGTCCAAGGGCAGCCTTTTCGGCTCATCCTCATCAGAGGGGGGGGGCAACCTCTCCCAACTCCTGCCTTGCAGGTTGGAGGGACTACAACTCCCATCATCTCCCACCGGCATGGGCTTTTGAGGGTACAATTCCATACCTCTGGAGATCAAGAGGTTGGTGAGAGAGGGGGATTGGTGTGTCCCTCCGTGCACTGGAGTTGGAGGCTGTTTTGGATTACGATCCCCATCATCCCCGGCTAATGGCCCTGCTGGCTGGGGCTGATGGGAGTCGGAACCTGAAACACCTGCATGAGTGGTGCTTTGAGTTTTCTCTCCTGTTTGCGTAGGCACCCCCCTCTTCTGAGAGTCGGCATCAAGACAGCTAGTTTTCCCTGTCCTTCAACCCAGGGCTGGATGTGTATCTGCCAAATGGACCCCTTCTCCTGAGACAGCCTGCTTTCATAGTCTAGTTAACTGGGCTTTTTTTTTTTTGCTTTTTAAAAAATTTAATATGTAGGTGAGCCCCCTTACCAGTTGCTTACCATGGCGAAGGTTGTCTCCGCAATGCTTCAGGGGTGAAGAAGAAATGAAATGGTCTTAAGGAGCGGCCTCGGCGATCTTTACACGCACCTCCACATCCAGGTTAAACAAACTTTCGAAATCTGTTTCTCCTCTCCTCCTACCTCATTGTTAGCAGGCAAACGAGCTACTTAAATTTTGCTGGGCTGTGACTATTCCCTTGCCCTCCTCCGCCTCTCGGCCAAGCCTTTTCACCGCGTCACCGCGGTTGGTAACTCCAGCGGGATCCTTCCCTTGCCAACTGCCAAAGACTCGTCCGTCCTCTGGAAGCAGCGAGAGCATCTTTGCGATGCGGGGAATCCCTCTGGTGGGGGCCGGGGCTGAGCGCCGGCCGACCAATCCGAGTGGTCCTGGGCTTTGACGGCCTTGGGGATTGCTGTATGGCTGCCGGGTGGCAGGTGTCCCCGGCCCCTAATTGGATCCGGGGGTGGGGGGAGAGCAAAGCCACCAGCCTGCTGCCGAGAGCAGGCTGAGCCGGGGGGCGTGATCCGCCTCCACGAGGGAGTCTCTGGGTGGGAAACCCGACCAGGAGGTTCACGGCTGCTGGAAACCACCGTCCTTTGCAACTTGCTCCTTCCCGAGGTGGCGATGCTGTCCGGGTGCCGGCTCTCCTGAAGGAACGGCTTCCCGATGACCATGGCTTCTTGTTTCCCCGCCAGCCTGCTCACCGGAGACAGAGGGATGGTGGTAGTCACGGAGCACACCAAGAACAGCGGACGCCCCGGCGATGCCATGTCGAGTTCCGAGGCAGAGGATGACTTTCAGGAGCCGGCCACCCCCACGGCCACCCAGGCGGAGCACGCCCTGCCCCTTCTCCCTCAGCAGGTGAGTGGCGCAGGCGGCGGTGGTGGTGGTGGTGGGGAGGAGGAGGTACCCCATCTCATGCCCTCTGGGTCCTAGCACAGACCTGGAGATGGGGATTTGCAGGGGTGGTTGTGGAGGTTCCTCCCTCAACGCTGTCCTGCACAAAACCCTCTTTCAGGGTTCCAGGTGAGAGCTCAGGTTCAAAGGCAGTTCAATGTGTTGGTCAGGAGTCTTGGGTTCTAATCCCCTCTCGGGCAGGAAATCCAGTGGCAGATGTTGAGCTGCTCACAGTCGCCCTGCTTGGGCCTCCCCGGCTGGTTGTGAAAATAAAGAGGAGAGAAGGAGAACACATTGCCGTGAGCTTCCCGGAAGGAGGGCAGGCATATCACACAACAAATCAGTAGAGCAGAGTGACCTGGACCCTGGGCAATAATATATAAATGCTGGCCAGAATCCTGCTGCCAGTGGATGCCTGTGTAAGGGAAATACATAAAGTCTTGGCAGGAAATGGCTACTCGTTAACAAGCTACTTTGTGCACCCCAAGGAGTGCACCCAGCTTCTTATTAACGAGTTTCCGTTTGCTGCCAGACTTCAGTAGCAGGATTCTGGCTCCTGTAAGTCATTCGGGGCCTGAAATAAAACGTGGCTGATTCAGGATTGTAATTCAGACTCTGCCAATCAGATGCTATACATGCTAGGGGGTCCGGTGAGCGTCAGGCGAGAGAACTTGGGAGTTATGGCCCAACGCCTCCGAAGGCACTGGGATTGAGGAAAATGCCCATAACTCATCTTGAGCTGGGAGGATGCAGCCAGCCAGAAGCCCAGAACAGTTAAAGGCATTATCTTGGTGTCCCACTGAGTTTATTATTCTGTCATTGAGGCTCTCTGGTGTGCTTGTTCTAATAGCTGCAAGCTTTAAACGGGGTCCCCCTGGCCTGTAGGAAACGAGCAGGTGTTCATGCTTCGAGCCCACAGGCCACGTAGGAGGAGCCATTTGGGATGTTGCTCTGGAGTAAGTGTCATCATGTGGAATGAAACGAGCAGCTAATTGGTGCGGTGCCACACCCAGTCCCGCCCTCAGCGTGCATCCGCCACCTCGTGAATTCGTCGCAGCAACTTAATGAGATGTTGTTGGCTTCAGAGTAAAACCCCAAAAGGATTCTGCCCACTTGTTTTTGCAGCTCAAGCCAGAAATGCGAGCAAATTGCTGTGTGTTTTGCTAGGGAAGCATTTTCTGTGTCCCTAGCTGCCTGCTTTGGCGTGGGCTGGGTGGATCACCAGCCACGAGGGCCGGGTGTGACCGCCAAGATCTTGGAGCGGCTTTTGGCGACAGATCAGTATGCCTCTCTGACTCAGACGAGCACCAGCCTTTCCCAGGCTTTTCCTCCCTGTCACCCCCGAGGTTCTCTGCAAAGTCATCCTTCTGCTGCTGAGTCATTTCTGAGTGGTGGCGACAGAGACCTGGAAGCAAAATCAGGCCAGAGGCAGCTGTGGGATGGGGAAGGTGCCACTAACCCACCGTCCTCCCCGCAGTTACCACGTCTAGGGCTTGGAAAAATTACTTTCTGGCCTAATGGATCCTGAGAGTTGTAGCCTCAAAAGTTACTTTGTGAAAACTCAGAGGGAGACCCCTCTGACCCCTAACTGGTCCCTACCCGGTTGGTCAGAGAAGCTCCTGGATCCATCTTTTTTCAGATCTGAGTGGCTAAGACTGAGGGACTGTCTTTTCCCAGCACAAGATGATGCCCCAGGGGTATCCCCAGTCCTGAGCTGGTCACTCGTACCCAGAGCCATCCCCGTTTGATATCAAAGGCAGCCTTTCATCAGCCAAGGGAGGAGGGTGGTCTCCTGATCTTCTGGCTGCAGGGAATCCTGGTTGCTTTGTGGGCAGGCCTCAGTTTCCTCCTGGAAAGCTCTAACCGGCTTGGGCACGAAGTGCCTTCAAGACCAGAGAAGGGCAGGAGAACAGCCCCGAGGCCAGACGTCCAAGATCTATGAAACCCCCTTAACCCTTTCCCAATGTGTTTGGGTTCTCCCCAGTTCCCAGATGTGGTTCCACTGAACGTCGGAGGCATCCATTTCACAACCAGGTTGTCGACCCTGCGGCGCCACGAGGACACCATGCTGGCGGCCATGTTCAGCGGCCGGCATTATATCCCGACAGACGTGGAAGGCAGATATTTCATCGACAGGGACGGAACCTACTTTGGGTATGTGCGAACCGAAGCGCTCGTGAGCAAGGCGGATGGCCGTGCGCCCAGGAGGCCTCGCAGTCCGTAACTGCTCTTTGCTCATGGATTCTGCTAGTGACAAGGACGGTTTGGCTGATGTATTTTCCAGCAGTCCCTCAAACCTCCCTCCTGGAACCAAACAGCTTCACCACGCTGGGCCATTCTTCTTGCAGTGTTGTTCAAAAAAAGGTCTGGTTGCAGCCACATCAGATTTTCCACGATACGTTCCTGCAGCTTTACTGGAGATAAAGCCCCTGCTTTAGGCCGCGGATTCTGAGTGTATTAAGGGCAGCAGCCAGGTGGGAGATAAGACAGATCCGGCCCCTGGAGAGAATTCAGCTTCGTCCGAGAGCCCTGTTAAAATGAGCCAAAGCTGTTTCAGAGCTCAACGGAAGAGATGGTCAAGGCAAGGGGCGGTGTTTGGATTTTCCATCTGCTGCGCCGACCTTGGGCGAGGGGAGGTCAGGAGGCAGGGACCAAAGGCTCTTTGTTTTATCCCACGTGGGGTCGCTAATAGGATTGATCAGACCAAAGCAATGGGTCTATTCTTGCCCCTGGAAACAGGGGAAGGGCACCTTAACCCGTTGAATGCTAACCTCCCTTCGGAGCCGACATCTGAGACCCTGATCTCACAGAGTCGGCCCCTGGAATAGCAATTGTCTGGTTCGAAATGGAAAAGGGGTTTGGGTTCGGAGGTGCCTGCGAGGCGTTCTCTCAGCAAATGGGGAGAAGGGCCTTTCCTTTGAGATGATTCCTCCATGGGACTCAGCCAACTATTTTGCTGGCCCAAGTGGCTTCAGCGTTGGCTCCCGTAGGTGCGTTCCAGAATCCTTCGTGAAGGATGGGTCTGGTGACACCCTGGGGACACGGTTGAGCTGAAAAAGCTCCTTGGTTTGCTTGTGAGATTTGTCCATCTCTGCTTCTGGCCACTGTGGGGTAGTTTTGTGTATGTGTGTATGTGCCCTTGGACCATTGAAATTAACATCATTGCATGCCATTATTTTGACAGGGTTGTCACCCAGCTAAGGAAATCTTAATGCCGTAAAATTTTGCAATTTAATCTCATGTATATTCAGGTCCTGCTGGATTCAAGGTAGATGACTTCCCCCTTCGAAAGCGCTTGTGTGATCCCGGCCTTCTTCACCCAACAAATCTATTGTGTTTCCCTCTGAGTAAAAAGCAACCATTCTACGACAACACTTAGGAAAGTTTCTTTAGAGTCTAAGCTTCAAATAGCCTTAAAATGACTCGTTGCCATTGCCTTTAAGAGAAGTGTGTCTATTTGTTCAAGTAAATGATGCTGAAATAATTGTTTTTCTCCTGCCAGGTGGGAAGGCCTTTTAAAAGGTGGTGCTTGAGATCCACAGTATTTTTCAGCCTTGTATGAAAAATGAAAAAAACTTCTGCTTGAACAGTCAGTGTCACATTTTCTTTTTGTCCATTAAAACACACACACATACCTTTTTACTTGGTTGGTGAACCAGTTCGACCCTGCAACCCTCGAATGTTCGGTTGCACAAATGTCGCAGAGCAGACGGGGGGAGAAGGAGTATCCGACGGTCGCCGAACCCCTCCTGCTCCATAGGTTCCTGTTTCCTTCCTTCTTTCTTCCCAGAGATGTGCTGAACTTCCTGCGATCTGGCGACCTCCCTCCAAGAGAACGAGTGAGGTCCGTTTACAAGGAAGCGCAGTATTATTCTATCGGCCCCTTGCTGGAGAGCCTGGAAGAGCTGCAGCCACTTAAAGGAGAGAAAGTCCGGCAGGCGTTCCTGGGCTTAATGCCCTATTACAAAGGTAAATCCTGGGGTGGGGGATGGCTGTGCGGGGTGGCCTTGGGGCTGGTCGGAAGCATCTGGGAAGTAGACCCTTGCTTTAAAAGAGAAAGGGGTTCATGTTTGTTAGTTTCCAGAACAAGGAGAGGAAAGCTGATCTGTTCATAGTGCAGTTATTTGCTCCGTTGCATCCACATAGCACTGCAGGATATAGTTTCATATGCCCAAAGGAACTCCCCCAGGCACATCAATTCAATCTTTATTATAGAGTCACAGACCCAATCAACAGCAAATTAAAAGCAAACCAATTTATTTTGCATCTGCTTTTGCCGATCTGTGGCCCGCTCCGTCCAGCCGTGAAAGGTGTGTTCCAAATAAGACCAGTTCATCTTTAGGGGTACCACCAGACTCTATGTGTTTTTAGGGGAAATATAATCATTTGATGGTCCCTAGCTCAGTGAGTAAGTTATCCAGCTTGCAGAGCCAGAGGTTGGGAATTTGATTCCCCACTGGGCTGCCTCCTAGGAGAAGACCCAGCCTGTGTCGCCATGGGTAACCTGCATTATCCCCCAGAAGAAGGGATGGGGAACCCACTTCTGGGTGTTCTCTTCCTTGAACATCCCCTGGAAAGGGCTGCGGGAAGTGAGAATTGACTTGGGTGGCCTGTGATCTCACCCAAGCCCCACCAGCTCTCCCAGACCCTCAGCTGCTGCTTCTCTGCCTTTCCCTCCAGAGCACTTGGAGCGGATCGTCGAGATCGCCAAGCTACGCGCCATGCAGAGGAAGGCCCGCTTTGCCAAGCTGAAGATCTGCGTCTTCAAGGAGGAGATGCCCATCACCCCTTACGAGTGCCCCCTCTTCAACTCCCTGCGCTTTGACCGGAGCGAAGGCGAGGCCAAGCTGTTTGAGCACCACTGCGAGGTGGACGTGTCCTTCGGGCCGTGGGAGGCCGTGGCCGACGTCTACGACCTCCTGCACTGCATCGTGACGGACCTTTCCAGCCGAGGCATCACGGTGGACCACCAGTGCATCGGGGTCTGCGACAAACACCTGATCAACCATTACTACTGCAAGCGCCCCATTTACGAGTTCAAGATCACGTGGTGGTAGGAGCTTTCCGCCGGAAGAGACTAAGAGAAAAGGTTTAGTCGTCACCTCCTGTGATCTTCGAACCCTCCTTCTGGAAAGCATGGCCTTCTCCGTCTTGCAGGAAGGGGTCGGTCCCCGTTCCTAGCTGTGCAGCCAGCGTACTCGTTCTCCCTGGAGGGATGCCCCCGGTTGGATGTACCGCGCAGAGTTGCAGCCCTGGAAGAACAGCAGAGGAATATGTCGGCCCCGGGTATGAACATTCCTGAAGGGCCTTTATGCAAAGCTGAGTCCCCTGCCTTCGTTCTGTGCTCATCCTTCACTTCCCAGCACTGCAGAGATGTCTCTATGCTGTACCACAGAAGGCTAGATCATGGCACGATCTTTCCAAGAGCCAGTTCTTCCGCACACAGAGAAAGCTTTGTTGTTATGAGGCTACCCGGCGTTTTTGATATTCAGCCCCACTTCGTTAGATGTGGCTTCCGCTCACCCTGCCCTCACTTGCCCACGGCCTTTAGGTCGGAAAGGCAGCGTGCTTTTCAAAGATGCTGAATTTACTCAAAAGTAATACATATCTATTTTTTTTAAAACAAAACCCACCGGGTTTGGGTATTGCTGCCTGAACTTCCTGTGTGCCTGCGTGTTTTAAAATGGCCTTATAGGCCCTTTCCAACTCAACTATTATGATTCTGTGAAAATCGCCACTTTAAGTACGACTCTTATTGTTTTTCCTTTTTTTTTAAAAGAAGGGCTTCAGATGTAATTTATTTCCATTTCTCTCACCAGAATGCACAGTGTTGGTCTTTAGATGCCTTAACCATGTACTTGAGAGAGGATAGACTGCCTCCCTTAAAGGATGCAGAAATAATGGCTGTTTGTAAAAGTAAATAGTTCGTGCCCTTTGCTTTGAGACAGTGTTTGGAATAGAGGTTTGTCTTTACTCGGTCGGAGCAGTGAGGTACGTTCTTGGCGGTGGCGCACTCCTGAAGTGGTTTTTGGTTCCTGCAGCAGCTCCGAAAGTGGAGCAGAAGCGCCCTTTGTAAGGTGGCTGGTTTAAAACTCCAGGATGCCGAGCATTACATGCTGTTTGGAAGTCCTCCAAAGAGCTTAGCTTGGTTCTTCAGAGAAGGATCCGGCTCAGCTCTAAATACCATTAAGGAGTAAACCTTGTCGGACACAGTGGGACTTCCTTCTGAGTAGAAATGTGTAGGATTGCTACTACAATGGTTTTAATATTGTGAATTTAAGAGTTTTCTCCCTCCCAGTACCAATAAGCTGATACTTATTTATATTATTTATACGACAAAATTCGTGAGATAGACTTTAGTTTCGTTACGAATTGACTTTCATTTGGCGTTGCCAAGGATGTTTCATCTGGCGGTGTCTGTGTGTCACGAGTCACCCTCTAACGCCGTGCTCCTTCGCAGGTGTAATCCTGGGCTTACTGGAGTCTAGTCCTGGAGAAGCTTGCATCGGGTTGCATCTAGATCTTTACATTCTTTATTTTTTTTAAAAAAAATTGAGACACAGACAGATTGGGAGGTCCGTGGTGTTAATTGTTGTTGGGTAGTGGACAAAGCAGTGATAAAACCTTTTTTAAGTGTGTGGCTTCCTCCACCAACATATTTAATCTGTATTTTGTATTGGAACATGTTCTGTGTCGGTATTGTGCAATAAATTATTTCACTACGGTCACTACCTAATCCAGCTCCTAATGATCATTTGCAAGTCTTAAAAGCAGAGTTGGAATTATGATTTTCATCTCCGAAGTGACACAATCATTTTTCTTTGGAAGAAACTAGCTCTGTTGGGGGAATGTTTTGTAGTGCGTTCTTACATATTGTCAAGGCATTCCCAACTTATGGTGACCCTATGAATTTAGGCTATCCAAAAAGTTCCCGTCATTGATATCCTTGCTCAGGTCTTGCAGACTCAAGGCTGTGGTTTTCTTTATTGAGTCAAGGCATCTCATGTTAGGTTTTCCTCTTCTCCTACTGCCATCGATTTTCCCCCTGCCTACGGTGTTGCTCCTGAGTGTATTTCCCCTGCGAAATTGCCTTACCAAAGTCTGTCCCAGCCCATGTAGGGTTAGGATGAAGATTTGTAGGACATGGGATTTATCTGCCAGGCAGACATTTTCTACTGGTGTAGCCAGAAATTTAAGAGAACGACTGGCAAGACTCGTGTTCAAGACCTGTGTATGGATGCATAGGAAGGGACTATTCCTCAAGCTGAGTTCCTGCATCTGTAAAAACGAGGACAAACTAAAAAAAAAAAACAACACACACACACACATAAACTAAAAAAAACACAACAACAAAGCCTTTGTCCTGGAACCTGTTTTGAATGCTGGGCGGATAATGATTGAGGGCTGCTTAGAAGATAACAGGGAGGTTGGCAAATCTTTGTCTTGAGTCCCACGTCCGAAGCTCCAAGTCTGAGTCCCTATTAAAAAGAAGCTTTTGTCCCCATGAATAAGGGAAAGTGGTGGGTGGCTTCCAAGTCCCGAGTTGAGTTTCCAGTGTGACTTAAACCTGACTTGGCAGCGAGTCCCCCGACTCAACAATCCCCCCCATCCCCGGACCACGCAGAACGCTTTCCTCTCTCCATGGTGTCAACTCTGCGTAGTTTCTATGCTGCTCGAGTTAAAAGAGGAGGACCAGAATTAATTTCAGTTCACAATTTTTTTCTGTGGGTTCAAGTGTGGAAGAGATCACCGAATACTAAAGGCCAGGGTGCCCCTGGGCATGTGTAGAGAGAGAGAGAGGGAGAAGCCATGTCAATACTGGGTGCAGCCGGAATAGCTATTGATCCCCATATCAAGTGCCTTATGGATATTTTCCGTTTGCTGTATGTGACGGGGAATGAATCAGAAATTAAAGGGGTTGACCCGCCTTTGTCCCTGCTGGGGAAAAAAGGGCGCCACTGAGTTTATACAGAGTGCCTTAACCCAGTTGCAGTTTACACACAGTTTGATTGCAGAGTTTGAAAAATCCTCCTTTTTTTTGGACTACAAGTCCGAGCTGGCTGGGGGATTCTGGGGGTTGTGATGAAAAACGATTCCAAGGCCTTTGAATGGGCTCCCTGCGCAGTCAGGTTTTTATGTTATTGGCTGTTGGATGACATTTCTCAAACCCAGCCCTTGGAAAAGTTACTTTTTCTGGGAGGGCAAACCCCAGCACGTTCAATCTAGCCGGTTCTGCAGAAGCCCCTCCCCCCAATCTATAGTACTGTATTTATTTTTAAGATTAATTAAAAAAAATTATTTAGAGATTTTTAATAAGAAAACGTTCAAAATACGTAACATTAAGCAAACTGGCCTTTTGCTGTTGTGACGGTGGGCGTGGCCTTGTGGAGATCCCGCCCCTTTATCATCATGTCCAGTTAGAGGAGGCTCCTCCTCCAATGATCCAACGCATCTTCGCCGCACTCTTCTCTTTTCGTGGCTCTACAGCGCGTCCCGCGCGTGGCCTTCTGGGAGCCCTGCGTCCTACACGTAGGGAGGGAGAGAGCGGGCGAACCGGGTGAGTGGAGGCGTGAGGCCGCTCTGCCGAGTAAGACTCGATGGTCTGGAGCAGCCGGGCGACCAGACACGCCCTTCCGCTGTGGGAGGAAGTGACGCCAGCGCGCTGAAAGGCGGGCGTAGTGTGAGAGGAACCGGGAGGAGGGCGAAGGAACGACAGACTCTGAGGCGACGGACGAAGCGAGCCGAAGCGGGAAGCGCGGGGCTCGGGCGGGAAAAAGGCCCCGAGGCGGCGGAGGGCCAGGCCGAGGCCGAAGCGGCCCAGGTGAGGCGAAGCGCGGGTGGGGGTGGGAGGTGATGGTGGTGCCAAACCTAAAATATGGGGGCGGGGGAGAGAAATTGTAATTATTATAATTAATTTAATTACGTAGCCCGGTCTTAATTTTGTCAGTCGCAAGAGTCCTGCACGGACGACGAGAGGAAAAATCACGAAGAGTCGGACACGACTAAACGACTAAACGAAACTATATATATACACAGTATGTATTTTTAAAAAAGAAAGGGCTTGGTCGACTTAGCAGGGTTGTTGTGAGGAGGGAGAGGCCTCAGTTCTCGTTCCGCCGCCCTCATAAACTCGGAAGTTGTACAGTTTTTATCAGTAATAGGTAATTTGTTTAAACCTGCTTTTGGTAGTACTGTAGTTCAGTAAGCATCACAGGTACTCAGTGGTAACATAATAAAAATTGAAAGCCATGGCTCTGAGGAGAGTTAACGGATGGGCGAAAGGACAGGTAAGGGCGTATTAGATTTATTTATCAATTTTGTTTGTTTGTAAATTTAGTTGTGTAATTATTATTTTATGCATTTATTTATTATTTACCTAATTTATAAATGTGTTTATTTCATGTTTATCTATATTATCTGTCTATCTATTTGTTTGATAACAATGGCCACTCTGGGTGGTATACAACAGCAATATTAGCATCAGAAAACATAAACAGAATTAAAAGTGATTCTCCCCCTATCTGCCAGGACAAAGAACCTTGTAACATTATTTTTTCCTGATTTTTCACCTTTTCTGTGTTTGCTAACTCCTTTGTCTTTTGCCCTGTGCCTATTATGGTCGGGAGCCTTAGGGCAGGAACTATCTTCTCCCTTTAAAAAGTGCTGAGAGCCTTTCCAGCGACAGAACACCATGTGAATGCTACAAATAAGCCGACATTTTAGCAGATGAAACACAGGAAAGTGACGAAGCGGTCATCCTGTGGTTAATACCTGGGCAGTCAAGCAAATTTCAGGTTCTACTGCTGTCCACAGACTGCTATCTAGCAAATCCGCATTTCCCTTCTCACGGGAGCTGTTATTGATCTGGGGAAGCGGTTAAGACCACTCTTGGTGGCTTACAGCAAAAACACACACACAAATATATATATACACAGTTTCTACATCTCAGTGAACCGGTCTCCATTTATAACCCTGCTCGACTGCTAAGATCATTAGGGGTAGGCACCTTGTCATTGGGAACAAGCTTGCCTGAAAAATCTGTTTGATATGGCATCTCTTCCATTAGCGATAAATCCCTAAATGCCTTGGGTCCAAGCCATCTCAATAATAATAATCTACATCTCAGTGAACTGGTCTCCATTTATGACCCTGCTCGACTGCTAAGATCATTAGGGGAAGCCTTTCTTTCTGTCCTGCTACCTTCCCAGCTGTGTTTGAGGAAGGGCCTTCCTTGGGGCTGCTCCCAGACTCTGGAACTCCCTGCCACTGGAAGCCAGGCTGACCTCTGCATGGCCTCATCTTTGCTGACCTCCTTCAAGCAGGCAAAAGACCTTTCTCTTCAGACAGGCTTTACCGGAGTGACTAGTTGGCTAGGAGAGATTTTTAAATGGGATAGTTTGTATTTTATTGTTTCTAGGTCAAAATCTTGCTTTACCCAAGATTCTTAATATGATGTTATTTATTTTTGCAGTGTTGGAATAATTCACTGTTTTTAGTTTTAATATTTGATTTTTAATAATTTAAGCTGCCTTGGGTCCTTTTAAAGGAAAAAAGGCAGGGTAAAAAGGTTTTAAAATAAGTAAATAAATAAAACAAATCTCTTAAGCAACCCTGATTTTTTGCATGGTTCCTTGGAGCGGGTAAGGCTGAAGGAAAAAGCCGCTGGATGGGTGGAGAAAAGACAGAATTAGGGCAGACGAGGTTCTAGGCGGCCGACTTATGGTAGTGAGTTCCCGTGGGAGTGAATGACCGCCTTTTATGCTGCTGGCCTTATCCTGTTGATTCCTGGCTACATTCTTTTTCATCCAATAGCGTCCTCCCACATTTTTTTATTTGAAAAATAACTTAAAGAACTTTCAATGTAATGTAAAATAAATATAAGGCCTTGATATGTGTGGGGATCGGTTCCAGCTCCCCCCCCTCCCGTGGACGCTGAAAAACATGGAATCCTACACTGTACATTGCATGATCTCTGGCTCTATCTGTTGGCCAGTTCTGGTAAATACACCCGACCGTGGATGCAGAAAAACATGGAATGCTATACTGTACATTGCATGATCTCTGGCTCTGTCTGTTGGCCAGTTCTAGTAAATACACCATGAAAATAAATATAAAAAGGTATTTCTGGGAGGTTTTATTATTTCAATCAGCGGATAAGTGAATCAATAGATACTGATCCTGTGGATGGGGGAATCCTACTGTATCTGTATGTATGACCATTAATCAAGTGATGGAATTAAAAATAATATGTTATGCCTTATAATGATACATAACAACTTAACAGGTTCCATTGCACAAATGACATTGATCATGTCCTAATCCATATGCAGAAGCAGTCCATCTTGAAAGCCCTGTCTAGGTTTCTGGGTTCAGCCCTAGGAGGCCACTAAGGGACCCTATCCAGAGCCCTGCTGGGGACCTTTTCCTCTCCCTCCCTTCTTCCTTGCTGTATGTACTACTGACAATAAATTGACTTTGCTTTCAGTGGCATTAAGAGGATCTGGGGATCTCGTTTGTTTGTGCGTGCATGCATGTGCATGAAGTGCTGGAACCACGTTTAGCAAAATGCTCTCGTATTTCCCTTTTGGTGAACAGGCTTTGGCGGGTGGTGTTGGTTTTTTTTCGCAGTTGTGTTTGAGGATCATTTCACCCATGAAATGGCCCTTTGGAAAACGGCTTGATGAACGGGGTGAAAAAGCCAGAGAATACCATTCGTGTTTGTTTCTTGGCCCCTACCCTAATCATCTGCCCATCCCATCGTTCGCCTGGAAAATGGATCCCTGCAGCAGCTTAGAGAGTGGTTGCCACAAATTTCGTAGGGCCCAGTGCCTGCATAGCTGAATTCTGCAAGTCTTATTTTTGCTACAGAAAGACAAGGTAGTATGTCGTTCTGCATTTTTCTAATTCTGGGTGCCTGTGGACTTGTGGCCACCCCAGATCCTAGTCCATGGGCTCTCTGGAGGCCGCCCCCAGGTTTTCCTTTCAGAGTGCTGCCTGGTTTTGGTTCATGTTGCAGGATCCCAGCTGCTGGGAGACTCCTTTTCTGAATTCACTTCCTGAAAGCCGAGTCAGTCAGCTGTCAGCTGAGCTGAGCTGTCAGATCAAGTTGTTTCTTAGTCTGAGGATTCATGGAAAATGCTGGGGATGAAGTCATCCTGGGCTTATTTCTTCCTTCCAATGGGAGTGGAAACTTCCTTGAATACCAGAGACATTCTTGAGTTCCTCTCTCTGTGGCAGCGCATGACTCAACAAAGGCAAACATTTGCCGAGGTTGGGGAAACTCCCTCGTGTCCTGCTAAAGACGTTTGCCTCTCAGCACTGGCTGAAGGGTCTCCCGCTTGCCCTGTTGCCAATTTGTCAGGTAGGGAAGGATTGAGGGATGTTCTGCTCTATCTTTCAGTTGAGATGACACAGAACTGCTCTGCTGTGATACTTTCTGCTTTCTGTGTCCCCTTGGGTTGCTCCCAAGTTGCTCTCCTTTTTTTGGCTTTTTAGTCTGCGTTGTGTCCTTGAAGTCTTCCAAAGAAGGTGCAACCTGGTGATCCAGTCCTTTCTTTTCTCCTTGCCATGCACCTTGAGTCAGTTGTATAAAAATGCTTATGTTGCATTATAGATCTTAATGGCAGCCATTTCCTCTTCTCTTTCCTGGTGATTAAGTTAATGGCCATCACAATATCTGGCCTCCCTGCCGCCTGCCTCCTTCTCTCTGGAGCATGGCACATGGATGTCTCCCCACCGCTTCCTTTTTAAAGAAAGTCTAAATATATAGTTTCTTAGTTTGAAATTGCATGGTGGTTGTGAGAACCCATCTTTTCCCAGAAGAGGAAGGACCTCAGAGTTGTGCTTTTCCTATCGGTAGGGTTCTTGGCTTCCGATAGGAGGAAATTTTGGAGCAAAGGGATCCAGTCATGCTCTTTCGACAGACTTTTCTGCTGGTGGTGCTGAGCAGCCCCTCCCTGCCCCTGGATCTGTGAATCTCTGTACCTGTATGATGGCTTGGATTCTAGTCTGCTGTGGTGTTAGATCGAATAGCTGGTTTGCTGCAGGAGTTCCTCTTAAAGTGGGGTGGGGAACCTGTAGAGCCCCCCAAGGGCACTGGACAAGAAGTCCATAATCCTTGACCACTGGCCTTGGCAACTAGGGTTTCTGAAGTTGAAGAACAATAAGACCCTTGTATCAGTATTAGCAGTTTCACTTATCCACAATAAAAAATATTACAGTAAAAGACAATAACTAGAAATGTATATTTTCACCATGTATCTACAAGAACTGGCCACTGGGGGAGCCAGAGACCATGCAATAAGTTCTTGTTGAAGAATACTGTATACTGTATTGCATTGTCTCTAGCTCCCTTTAGTGGCCAGTTCTAGTAATACATAGTGAAAACACATGTTTCTGTTTTTTTTTTAAACCACGCTATGTATAGTGTTTGTTATTATCTGTGGATCTCAGCAGCCATAGGGGCCTTGGAACCAATGCCCTGCAGATATGTGGGTCCTACTGTACAGAATATCAGGAAGGGAAACCTTGCCTGCCAGTGTTTGTGAACTAGGGTGGCCAAGTTTCAGTGACCAGTTTTCACTGGACAACACCAGGTTCCTCCCCATCAGACCTCATTTCTGCTTTTTCAGCCAAAGAATGTTCTATCGGGAGGAGTCTGGGGAAAGGACTGGGAGCCACACAAACGATGAAAATTGGATGATTCTCTTTCCTCCCCCGTCTCATTTTATTCATTTGTTTGGTTATTTCAAATATTTTTTTACCCCACCTTTCTCCTTGAAAGGACCGCAAGCTCTAATGGCCTGCGGACAACTGCAAGCTGGATGTTCAGTGCTTGAGAGCGTGTTTGCTATTAATAATGGTGGTACATACCCAGCAGTCCCTTGAGATCTTTTGGGGCTGATGATGCCTGTGACGTAGCTGTTAGGGATCGATTAGATATGAGACAAGCTGGGGATTGGGAGGCAAGAACCAGCTTCAGGCAGCGACCCAGAGTATCTGTTGGAAAGCACTTTTTAGGCATCCATTACCAAGTCCCTGACCTCTCAGCGTCCGTCAGTCCTTCCATAATGCTGGTAGTAATGGGATATTTTGGAATAACAGGTAGTTTTAAAGGAGAGAGAGAGAGAGCAAGAGACAGTGACTTATGGGATATTTTGGAATAACAGATAGTTTTAAAGAGGAGAGAGAGAGAGAGAGCAAGAGACAGTGACTGTATTGTGGAGCTATATTTTGTACCTGTGGAGGTAAAGACTCTTGGCAGCGTTCCTGTCAAATCATAACTCTTAGTAATGTAAAAGATGTAAGACTCCCTCTGCTTTAAAAACCATAATACTGTAAATGCATAAGTGTAACAAGTTTGTGTTCCTAACATCTCTGCACATTTCCTCAGTTCTCCTGCTTTTAAATCCAGTTGTTGATGGTCTGTAGTGGTGGGCCCTGATGATTGTCCTTGTTTTTCTGTCTTGTATCCTTTTGCAGCTAAATCTTGTGGCCCTCTGCCTCTGTTAAACTGTGGAAATCCAGGTTAATCTCTTCTGAGTGCCTTGCTGTAGGGTTGCATAACAAGGGGTCTACACTGTGGAAATGCTGTTGTTGTCACCTGCTTTGAACCTTTTGAAGGGAGGGGGCTGAATGTGGGCCCTTCCCTCTGGGCGCAGTTTGTCCTTGTTTGCCCGGCAGCCTTTTTGAGTGTCCCCAAAATAAAGGTTCCACCAGCAACCTCTCCTTCTTTTTCTCCGGCAGGAGCAAGATGAGCCTCAAGTCCGAACGCCGTGGCATCCACGTTGATCAGTCCGAGCTGCTGTGCAAGAAAGGATGTGGTTACTATGGCAACCTGGCCTGGCAGGGCTACTGCTCCAAGTGTTGGAGGGAGGAGTACCAGAAGGCCCGGCAGAAGCAAATCCAGGAGGACTGGGAACTTGCAGAGAGGTAAGGAGTGTCCTCGGTTGATTTGTGTGTGTGACAGAGAGCCTTGTCTGATTCCTCACCACCTTCTGCTGAGAGGCTCCCCCCCGTTGAGGTCTCCGTAAGTCTCCGCATGCAGAGAGGGACTGGGTGATTGCTGAAAAAGACACAAGCAACCTATCCTAGGCTTGAAGTTGACACAAAGGAGCAGTCAGTCTGGTTTGCTTTGCTGCGTTCTTGTGTTGCACAGTGAAAGCGGGAGAAACATTCAAGTGTGCAATACTACCTCCAGCAGTTTCAGCGGACAAGGAATCATGTGGTGCCTCACCCTCGGAGAGGCGAGGTTTTATAGCCATAGCAGGGGAGACAAAGGTGTGTGTGTTTGATCAGTCGGCTGTAGAACATGTTTTCAGGAAACAGCACCAGCTACTCAGCAGTGCGGGAAGCTGCGTGTGACCTTTTAAGGTAGACCTTTCCACCCGGATTGGCTCATTCTCTGGAGGCGAAGTGGGTGGCTGTCCTCTGGCCTCATCTTTGGTGGCCCTCCACCATGAGAAACGTTTGCACTTTCCACCTTGACAGTGCCTTGTGAAAAAAAAATCAGTGCTGTAAAGAACAGACATGTTTGTAGGACTGGGTTTTTAGTTCTGCTAGTGTTTTCCGTATTTTGTGTTTCCCATGTCTCAGAATGCCATTGGTTGTTTCTCTTTTCTTTTAACGGCATACTTACTGTTCGTAGCTTTAAGTGTTGTGTTTTAATGATGTTAACCACTGTTGTATACTCATTGATTCCAACTTTAAATATTGTCTTTCACTGTTGTAAGCCGCCTGGGTTCCTTTTCAAGGAGAAAGGTGGGGTAAAAATATTTTAAATAACTATAATAAATAAACAAACATTTGAGACATCTTTAGCAGTCGGACCTTATTTTTCTGGTATTGCCCCCTGGCTCTTCTGCTCTCGTATACCACCTTCCTAGAAAGAAAGTCACTGAACTGCCTTTTTTTCCCCTCAGTGAGACCTTTTATCTCTTTTGTCCAGAGAATAGTGTTGAAGGAGCAGCAGGGCACTGAGCTGGGGGTGTTCCCAAAGGCAACCCCCCATAAGCTCTTTGCCTTCCTCCTCCTGAGTTGTGTCAACAGTGTCTGCTGAAGGACACCTTGCCCTTAACCTGAGGACAAACCCATCTTTGTCTTGTTAATTGTGGTGTCACAGTCTCTCAGAACCTCTGCTTTCCGTGTTGGGTCTGAAAACTGTGAGGATATTGAATGAGGCTTTTCAGTTATCTAGCTCCGGATTGCCCATTCAAGCAGGTGGCGACCGTTCCTCCTTACCCCGCCTTCTAGGCAGTTGGCTGCAAAGGAGAGGTAGGAGACTGCCGGCTTCTTTGCCAAGGCAGGATCATAAGAACCAAAGAACTGAGAGAGACCCCCCGTGGGTTGTCTGGCATGAAGGATGCAGCTTGTCAGGGGCCTGGGAGAAAGATGGGATGCCAAGGAAAGGATGATGGTTCACCTGCGGTGTCTCCCCCGCTGCTCCACGATCCAAAAAAACAGGGTGGGGAGATTTAGAGTGTTTATGGCCGCCGAGTGTAACAAGACAGGCACCATCCCTGGAAGAGATGAGGAGGATAACAGTCACCAGGAAATGTGGGAGGACATTTTGGGAAGACTGTCTCTCCCGACATGACCCTCCCCAAGTTCTTCAGGCCCCTCGTCTAGCAAGGACAGGAGAGAGGGGTCTCTTATAAACTCCCCCCCATACTTTTAAATGGGTTTAATTTGTTTGCTTGTTTCGAGTGTGGTAGCCAAAGTCTACCCCCACATATGCTACTTCGTCCTCCCCCCACAGGGTTCTTTTGTAACTGGAGCCAAAGGGGCTGGAAAGGAGTGCTGTGGGTGCATGGAGGAGGAGGAGGAGCCGTGTGTGTGTGTGTGTGTGTGTGAGAGAGAGAGAGAGAGAGATTCGCGTGCAGCTGCCCACCTTTGAGGGAACCGTGGTGGTAACCAATTTAATATAGAGCTTGTGTTTTCATCTCTTACGTATTTTTGTTTCTCAGGATGAACATGTACCGCATGTATATATCTATCAATGTGTGTCTGAATCTGTGTGTATGTGCATAACGACTAAATCCTCGGGTGTCCTAGGCTCCAGCGTGAGGAGGAAGAGGCCTACGCCAGTACCCAGCACCCTTCGGGAGCCCAGTCGCTCACTTTCACAAAGTTCGAGGAGAAGAAGACCAATGAGAAGTCACGGAAAGTGACGACCGTGAAGAAGTTCTTTGGAGCATCTCGGCCGGGAACGAAGAAAGGTAAGAATCAGCCTCTTAAAATGACTCTCGGGCAAGGGACTTCTACCAATGTCCAACGTGTTTTTCACTCAGCCCTTGGGTGTTTGTATTTCTAAAGGGCAGCTTTAGGAAAACTATCCAGGGTTTCCGTCAAGAGGTAGGGCGTGAGTGTCTGTCCCTCTGGATGTTGAGTTGCCCTTCTCAGCATCACTCACCCCTGCCTGGGGGCTGATGAGAGTTGTGGTCCGGCACCATCAGGACCTTCCCCGTCTTTGATCTGCATCTTTCCTTCCTCAGAAATATCCCCTTGAACCTGCAGCCTTTCTGGAAATCCCCCAGAGGGCTTTTTCTTAGGGCTCTGTAGGCTTTGCGCAGCCTTCTCTTGAGGGTGAAAAAAACAAACCCTTACAGGACGGGATGGATAGGAACATATCTTTCCATGCTGTGTGACCCTTGCAGCTACCCTTTGGAAAGGTGGCTTCTCCAAAATACATCTCAAATATCTATAGCCAGGAGGAGAAGGTGGAGGAAGCAGCGGTGGTTGTCTGGCAAGAGAAAAACAGCCTCCAGAGTCATCCAGCCAGGAGGGTCATTGTTGACTGTAGCGCCCCCCCACACACACAAAATATACCTTTCTAAGCTGGGTCTAAAGCTCTGAAAAGCCTTTTGCTGAAGTTTTTAGTGTCTGCACAGGCTCCTATAGGAGCATATGGTACGTGTAGAGCACACCGCTGTCTACACGGTTGTCTCCTTTTCTTAAAACACTGCTTTGCTTACATCTTTTGAACCTCTTTACGGTTTCCGACCTTGGATTTATAGCAGTGTTCCGAAGAGCGGTTTGTATGAAGGATTTTCATTCTGGAGTTCCTTAGGGGAACTGGTTCACGTGCCCGAGCCTTTAAGACAGAAAGCTCTGTGTATTTGTGCTAATAACCTCGGGATCAGCTTAGTTTTTCTCTGAAAAACATGTTCAGCCCGATTGATCTTTGGACTCTTGGCTTGGCCTTCATAAAACTGTAATTGTGCGACTTATTGATTGATTGATTGAGTCTTCTTAATTGCACTGTATAGCTTGGTCAGCTCTTGCATCTGACCCCAAAAATTTATCAAACTGTTTAAGACATTTCCACCGTCCACCCCACGCTTCTGCACCTCCCAAAGGGCAACTGGGGAACGTGGACCGGAAGGAAGGTGGAGACCCTGTTTATAAAACGTGCCCTCTGCTCTTTCAGAATGAACCCAGGCCAGGCTGAAAAGATGTTAAGTACAAAAGGCGGGTTTAAGTACAGCTTCAGGTTTAAGCACGAGGAAGTGTTCGTCTGCATAATACGATTGTTAATTACAGAGTGCATTAAAAACGGCAGCTGGGTAGCAAATTTGAAGCGGCTTTGCGAACAAAAGATTCTTGCCATCTAGTGAAAGGTGCAGAGCGCCAGGTTTTGTAGCTTGGTGCTTAGGGTGGGGCGCCTACCCCGAAGCCAGCCACTTCTGCTGTTGCTACTCAGGATCCAAGTAAGTTGTGCCGTATTTTTCCTCCATAAAATTGGCAGGAATTAATAGCGCTCTGGTTCAGATGTTGCTTCAGCTGCCATTTCCATCGTGCTGTTTAAATACTTGTCAGATGGGAGGCTGATAGTTCCTGCTAATTAAAACTTTTTTTGCCTTGAATTATTTTCCTTTGCCTGACTTCGAAAACTTTCAAGGTGTTCCAGAATTCAGAAAGAAGCACACTATACAGTGACCAAAACCAACCAAACAACAACGACAAATCAGTCTGTTCGTATATTAGTATAAAAGTGCCAGTCTATTCATATCAGTCTGTCCCAGACCTAGGACTAGAGCGATCCAATGTTGCTTTAAAATCAACACCCAGGAAACACTGACTGGAATAAAACTGCCTGCTTTTCCTTGTTAAAGTGAGCCACGAATGAGCCAGGGGTGCCTCTTGGAAAGCTGCTTTAAATTCTGGGTGCCACCCCTCAGAAGGGCCTGGCGTGCTACCCGGGGGAGAGCCAGGAGTGGGCCCTGGAGGTGGGAAATGCAGGACCAGGCAGGCAACTGGGGATAGAGGGTGGGGAGTTCGGCGTTCCTGGCTGCGACAGGTCTCATCAGCCATGCTCAAACCCCCCCCCCCCGGGCATTTCACAGCCTTGTCAGTGCATTAAAGTCACCTTGAATTAGATAGTCTGTGTCCTAGAAAGTGACATTTTGTTGTTCTCGAACCTTGTGTTCTGTGTTTTTAATAACTGAGTGGCTTTTAGCATCATTGTACACGACTACCGTGGCCATGTCTACTTGTCCCATGCCTTTGTCCCTAGCCTAGAACCTGTCACTTCCCTTTTCTTTTCTCTCCTTCCCTTTTCTATTTACGTCTGCCTTGGGAACCGTCCTTGCTGTTTTGCCTTTATTCTAGCCACTCAGGAGTCCAGTGTTAAGCCCGGACCGCTCGGGAAGGAGCTGGGCCCTGATAACCTTCTCAGGGACTTGAAGGAGATGTTTACTTCCCCCTGGGAGCTTGCCTCTCCTACGGAAGGTAACACGGCACAGCCAGGCCAAGCTGTGTCTGCTTGCTTTAGTGGCTTTGCAAGATCTCAGCTAGGGTTGTGCCAAGGGTTCTCCTTCCGTGAGACCTAGATCTCATCACGGGTCTGCAAGAGGCCGGGTCCATTCGTTCACGTCCTCCGACTCCAGTGTAGCCGCCTGTAACTCGCCTCTTATTGGAAAGACTTGCTCCATCCCACAGGAATTGAATTGCAAAACGAGGAGTTTTCCTAAGAGGAGCCCCTGGCCTCTCCCAAACCTCTTTTGAACAACTTTAATCACCACAAAAATCACAAATTCTGCAAAGGTTTCGACATCTCAGCAACTTTTAGTTTTAAAATGCTAGATATTTTTTTTATAGCCACATTCTTGAAAGGGAAGTGTTTGATCAGAACCGTGGCTTCAGGCCATAACAGTGAAAAATCGGTCAGCGTACATCTTGCCTTGCTTTCGACTGGGTAGGAAATGAGATTTAGGGTGCCTCCTTCCCCCCACCCTTCACCCTGGTGGTATTCTTTTTCTAAAACAAGTCTTGGTCTGTGGGAACTGAGCCGGGATGCGTGTTTCCTGGATTCTTACTTTGCATCCAAATTCTGTTTTGGAAACATGCTTTTATTTAAACTTCAGCCCTTAGAATTCTCTAGCTGGTTTTGCTGGAGGTTTGTGACCGTCTCTAAAAGACTCAGTTTTCCAGCTCACTGAGCAAGTTCTGGGACCTACGTAGTTTTTTGGGTGTGTGTGAAAACCCCTTGCTTCTCTATTTGGGAGGTGCTTTCCTTCCCTCCCCCAACACACTTCTAGCTTTTTGTTCCTTCAGGTGTCGCTGATGCCCTTGCTGGTGTGTATTTGCAGACGTTGAGGCCAGAAATTTTTTTAAAGAGAAGCTCCGCACCCCTCCCCATGTCTTGCACCTTTTCTACCAACTGGTGGAAAGCTGGTGCACCCGGAACCCTGGAGCTGACACTCTTGGATTTTATTTTTTATTTTTTTTGCACCCGTTTGCTTTTTGCAGCTTTCTTTGCCTTGTGAGGCTTCTTAATTGTAATGGAAAGCACAATCTTTTGTAGTGCCTGCTGCGGATTTGCAGCGCCTTTCCCCCCTTTGCCGTCTTCTTGAGCTAGCTGTTTGTGCTTTCATCAACAAGCAAAATCCTGATTCTAGCCCCCCCCAAACCCACATTTTTATGGGCTATGTCTATCAGCTGACTCCCTTTTTCTCTCGTGACAGGGTTGCTTTGTTGAAAGCTAGGACGGAAATTTAATTAAAGCATAAAAATCGTCACGCTGGATCAAAGCAGGGTGGTGTTTTTTCCCCCCTCCCCACAGCAAGCTGGGTGATAAGAAGCTTGCCAGCAGGGCATAAAAGCTACGCTTTCTCGCTGCCTCTAGTCCTAAAAGAGATCCCACAGCTGAATGCGATTAATATCTGCTCACTTCTCCTTGCTAATCTCTGCTCAAAAACACACTTACAACATTCTTACTGTCGAGTTGGGTCGGCTCAAGTTTTGCATTTAATTCCGTAAATTGAAAGAACAGGGATGTAACATGCGAGAGGTTCTACCGCGTGGCTTCCCTGATCGTGAAGAACCATCTCAGCCTCCCTATTTTTGGCAACCCCTTTCTTGAGGCATTTAGAGATTTAGCACACTGCTACTCCAGTTGCTAGAACAAGGGTTCCCAACCTTTGGGTCCCCAGATGTTCGTGGACTTCAACTCCCAGAAGCCTTCACCCCTTGCTGTGCTGGCCAGGATTTCTGGGAGTTGTAGTCCAAGAACATCCGGGGACCCAGAGTTGGAGGTCCCAGATCAACCAAAGCTCATCCACTCCTGAAGGTTATACAGCAGTCAGAGTTTTTCAGCTGATCCTTTCCGTTTATTTCCCGAAGATAATGGCACAACCATAGCACAGATCCTTATGCTGTCCGTGACCTGGTGTGGAAGATGCTGTAAATGCCAGATCATCGACTGGCTCTTTTGCCTTGCCTGGTTAAAAAAAACTCATTTTTCCTGTGTGTTGGTGTGTATTTTCGGGGGTTTTGGGAGGAGAGGAGGCTGCCCTTCCTGCACCCCCCTCCCTTTCTGCTCATGCAGTGGCTTTCTTGCGCAAATAGGAGGCAGGGGAAGCTGCTCCCGCTAGCTAGATATTCTGCTTTAGAGCTAGTACTTCAGTTAATGTGTTGTGCTATGCCATCAAGTCATAGCTGGCCTATAGCGTTCCTGACCCTAGGAAGGCTTTCAAGGTAAATGAGATGTTTAGGTTCCACTCCCCCAGGGAGTTTCCATGGCCAAGCGGGGATTTGAACCCTGTTCTCCAGAGTCCTAGCCCATCACTCTCCCCACTGCACCACACTGAGCATCAGTTAATTTAGCGGTGAAGAAATAGCTCAGCAAAAGATCCTGAAAAGAAAACCCTTGGGATCTGCGTACCTCTTGGGAAAAACATGCCAATCCTCACATATTCTGTCTTGTGGGTTTGTCTCTCTCTCTGTGTGTGTGTTGTGGTGCAACTTCTGCCTTCCCATGGGGCCCCTTTGTGTTCCTAGACACACCGTCGATGGGCTTGTGTGTTTGAAGGGAAGGAGCAAGCCCAGCCTTAGAGGGACTTCTCCAAGACCCACAGCAGTGGCGGTGGGCGTCTGGAGACCGCAGATCCGCCCCATGCAGCTCATTGCTCCTAGTTGCGGAAAGTCAAATGAGAAGGCAGCCCTGTTGAGGTGCATCTTCCTTATAGCATCTCTTATTAAAGAGGAATCCGTCGGTAGGTCTGCTTGTCAAGCTCACAGATGAAGCAATGTGTGATGGAGGTGGCCCTCTCTGTTCTCTTCGCCCTGTCTCTGGCTTTTCAGATAGCCTGCCTCTGACCACTGAGGTTCCTCATAGCCAACTTGGCCATCAGCCTAGTTACCATATTTTTCGCTCCATAAGACGCACCTTTCCATAAGACGCACCAATTTTTTAGGAGAAGAAAACATGAAAATATAATCTGTTTCCTTCACTCCATAAGACGCACAGACTTTCAACCCCCCTGTTTTGTGGGGAAAAAGTGCATCTTATGGTGAGAAAAATACGGTACATTTGGGGAGACTTCAGGCTGCCTCTGCATCTCCTGTGTGGCCCAAACACTCTTGGGCCACGAGCCGCTAAGAGAGCCTCACGCAGCCGGGGGAGTTTCTCGCCTCGCACGGGCCAGTTTTCCTCCTCCCTTTGAAACCAGGGTTGCTCCAGTGTATTTGCTTGTCTGTGTCGCTGGGTTGTGACTTCTCTTCCTCCTGCTTCAGAAGAGATATTTTTTCTGGAGCTCACTTCTCAGGATAGGAAAGTGTCAGTAAAAAAAGAGCACAGACATCCGTCTTTGGGTGGAAGTGTTGAGAGACTCAAGGGCATTCATACCTCCTTTGAAAGTGGCGGAAAAAAGCTATCCAGATGAGAATGTACGTAAGTGGTGCCTCTGGATGGGGGGAAAAATAAATAAAACCCCGACGTTTTTAAACCAAAAAACTGATTTTTAAAAAATACGAATTGTTGGGGAAAAAATCAGATTTTTAAAAAATTTAAGTTGTGATTTAAATCAAATCGATTAAAATTGAATCCATCCTGTATAGAATCATTAGGACAGAGTGTCCAATGGACCAGTAGACATTATGAAGTGGAAGAAAAGATCTCTGCCCCAAGGAGCTCACAGTCGGTCACAGCGAGGGAAGGAATTGGGAGGAGTAAAGGTGAGATAAAGGGAGGCAGGACACATGGTTCTGTTGTCTCCAAGACTTGATCTCGCAGTGATGGGGAGATCTTTGCCAGAACGCCCTGCAGGGTTGTGGCCAAAGTGCTGGAAAAGGCAGTGGCAGGAAGACAGAAAAACATCCCTTGGAATATGAGGTTTCTCTGCCTGACCCTTTTGTTTTTTTGGAAGGCATCTCACGTTTTGCTAAATTGCTTTGCCCCAAAGGTAGCTTTGTTCGTGGAGAAGAAGAGCAGTGACCTACTTCTATACAGGCCTTGCCAAATCTCTCCCCCCCTCAAAAAAAATCAAACTGCTTTGCAGAAATAGCTGGCAGGGTCTCTAGAAGTGCCAAAAGGCACCAGTCCTGTAGGGAGTTTGTCCTGTCTGGGTTGTGTCGTGCCTTCAGTCCACCAACCCTCTTTGCTGTTTCTACCCCACCTGGGTCATGTTGTGCCTCGCCTGATGTCCCGTGTCGTGAGATGCCAACTCAGAACGTTCTGTGTTTTGTCTCTTTCTCTCTCTGTGTGTCTTGTCTTTGTCTTGTCGCTTCTTCCACCTCATCCTGCGCCATCTGCATCTCCTCCTCCATTCTTCATTCTGAGCAGTGCTGGCTGGCAGGCGGAGAGGTGGGTGACTTCGGAGTGTCTTGTTTTCTTTTCTTTATTTTTAAAGAGCCGAGGTGGGGCAGATCTGGAAACCGGTTTCCTCCACTAGGGAGGCAGAAAACCCAAAGATCTGGAAAATGGAATTGGACGTAGCAAGAAGTCCGGTTTTTAAAAAGGGCTATGGGGGGGGGGTTAAGTGGTACAGGCGTCTTGTGGCCTTTTAAAGGAAGCTGCAAGGAACTGAGGTTCACCTTTCTTTGGGAAGAGAGCTAGAAATTTATTTTTAAAGAGCTGAGGTGGGGCAGACCTGGAAACCGGTTTCCTCCACCAGGGAGGCGGAATACCCAAAGATTTGGAAAATGGAATTGGACGTAGCAAGAAGTCCAGTTTTTAAAAAGGACTATTTGGGGGGGGGGGTTAAGTGGTACAGGAGGCTTGTGGCCTTTTTGAGGAAGCTGCAAGGAACTGAAGTTCACCTTTCTTTGGGAAGAGAGCTAGAATGGAGCTGGATATCCAGAAAAGGCACTCTCTGGTGGTCCCACTAGGAGGTTCCGATAATGTGGCCGGTCACTTTTGGCATGGCCCTTTTTCTGTGGCTCACCAGTTATGATTTTGCAAACCTCTCCTGGGGAAAGCCACCTTTGCTAAAGGGAAGCAGGTTGGGAAAGGTGGATCCTAGGGGGGTGCCTTGCCAGTTGGAGGGGCTTGGAGGGAGTGGCAGTGCAGGCAAGGATGGTACCCCTGACCATCTTTTTGTTGGAGGGGAGCTGTGCTGTGGTGCAGCGGCAGACGTGGGCTTCGTGTGCAGGTGGGTCCAGCTGGCATTTCTGGGCATGGGGAAGGTGGTGGCCCAGGATCTTCTCCAATTTGGCAGCGCCCCGGTGTGCGCTCTGCCCCAGAGACACCTTTGCCCTCTGCCAGCCCATCCTTTGCTTTAGGGCGCTACTGGCTTAACGTGGCTGGAAGACAGGCTACATCGCTTCTCACGGCCATGCCCCTCTTTTCCCCCCAGCGGATGTTCCAGAAGCCAAGGCGCCCAGCCCTTCCATCAGCCGGCAGGTCAGCCTGGAGACGGACCGGGTGTCCAAGGACTTCGTAGAGTTCCTGAAGACATACCCAAAGTCCGGACAAGAAATCCACAAGCAGTGCCGGCATTTCCTGGAAGTCATGCACCACAAGCGGGTAAGTCTGGCCACAGGCCGGAAGGAGGAGGAACCCCTCTAGGGGCTTCTGGTTGCATCTCGAACTCTGGCAATGAACCACAGGGGGTCAGAAAAGGGCCTTTCATCCTAGGGAGAGAGAGGATAAAACTGGATTTCAGAGTAGTCATTCGAGGCAGAGTTAGCGCTCCCAGGAGTTCTGGGTTCAAGCCCACCATCAGGAGGAGCCTTTGAGACCATCACACCCTCTCTCAGCCAGGCGTAACCATGTAGAGATGTTGCAGAGAAGAGGAGAAGGGCGTGAGCTTTGAGCTCCTTGTAGGAAAGGTGGGAGACCAGATGGGCTGAAAGACACATAAGGGCCAGGATCTTACAGGTTGGTTCTGCCGGTGTGTAAGTCCAGCGGCATAAATTGCAGCCCTGCATGGCCAGTCGTTAACACATTGCTGCTGGTATTCCCTGGTGCATGCCCAGACATTTCTGTATTCAGAGGGCTAGTTCTAGCCTATAAAGCCCTAAACGGCTTGTTTCCAAGTTGTCTCAAGGAGTGCGTCCTCCCACTAAGAGCCTGTTCAGGTGTTATGATCTGCAGGGGATGCCTTTCTCTTTTTCCTTCATAGCTGCATTTGATACGTACAAAGGAAAGGGCCTTCTCGGTGGCTGCTCTCAGACTTTGGGAAAGGGCCTTCTCAGTGGCTGCTCTCAGACTTTGGAACTTCCTCCCACTGGAGGCCAGGCTGGCCCCATCTTGACTGTTCTTCCGCAAGCAGGCAAAGACCTTTCTTTCCAGACAGGCTTTCCCTGAGTGACTGGCAGCTTGAGTGTTTTTTTTAATGGATTATTATGCCTTCCTGCTTTGAATGTTTTGGTGTTGCTTTTGTCGTTTGAGTGTGTTTTTTTTAATGGATTAGTATGCCTTCCTGCTTTGAATATTTTGGTGCTGCTTTTGTGTGGTATTTGTTTAATCATTTTCAGTATTCTATACTTACCGTTTTTAGCTTTAAACATGGTCTTTTAATGATGAAGGCCACCTTGGGTCCTTTTTAAGGAGAAAAGTGGGGTAAAAATATTTTAAGTAAACAAACAAACCAACCCACCCATTGCACTGATGCCTGCCTAACTAACCAATAGGATTCCGGCCATTAGATAAATATATACAGAGCTGATTGATATGTGAAACTAAAAGAGCAACGAACACTGATTTTATTGTCAACGTTAATTGAAAAGTTTTTGTTCTTATTTTTTAATCCTCCGAAGCTCAGAACAGTACAGTGGTGCCCCGCATAGCGACGGTAATTCATTCCGGAAAAATCGCCGCTATGTGGATTCGTCGCTATGCGAAATAAAAAAGCCCATAGGAATGCATTAAAACCCGTTTAATGCATTCCTATGGGCAAAAAACTCACCGTTATGCGAAAATCCTCCATACGGCGAGGAATCACAGCTGGTGGCCATTTTTTTTACCCGGCGGCCATTTGGAACCGCCGATCAGCTGTTAGGAAAACATTGCTATGCGAAAATCGGTAAGCGAAACAGCTTACCCATCATCGCAAAGCGATTTTTTCCTATCTAAATCATCGCAATGTGATCGCAAAAGCAATTGCAAAAACTTAATCGCTATGCGGATTTGTCGTTAAACGGGGCTCCCGTTAAGCGAGGCACCACTGTATGCATAAGTAATGATGAATATGTAGTAGCTTGAAAATAGCTTTGCAGGATGTATGTAGTGGCTCAAATCCTATTGCTTAGTTCGCTGATGTAGCTGTAGCACAAATGGTGTACCATTTGGAAGCAGATGGCCCCAAGTTAAAAAATCATTGTAGTTAAGTCAGTTGTAGGATGAGTTCTATGACGTGGTGTGCAAGTGATAATTTCTCTCTCTCTTTTAATTTGGAACCATGTGTCTCTAAAACCATAGTCTTCTGCAAAGCTATGCAAGAGGGTCTTACTCAGTTTGGTGCTGTGTGTTTTGCAGAATGAACGATGATAACAAGGTGCAAAGTCGTTTCAGTGCACCTTTTTACAATAGGACTGTGGTATTGGGGGGGGGAACATTGGTTCCAAGCTCCCTCCCCCTGCAGATGTAAACAAACAAAACCCCATGGATATCACAAACCCTTTATATAGCGTACTATTTGGTTCCTTCTAGTGTCCAGTTCTGGCAATGCACCCTGGAAAATGTGTATTTTTGGTTTTTTAATGTAATATTTTCAGGCCATGGATAACTGAAACCGTGGGTACACCATTCCTACTTTAATGACTTTATATCCCTTTGCTGGGCTTCTCAGTGCTGGAAAAAAAATCACAGCTTAGGATGTGCCTGTTATCAAAGTTGCCTAGGTTTTTCCTAGGTAGAAGCTCTTTTCTGTTGGGGGAGCTTCATTTGTTCCAGGGTGTCACCATTCATTTGGTCAAGAGGTGGCAGTCTCGGGTTTTTCCCCAGTTTTAAAAAAACAGCCATGTTGTCAGGTTTCACGTGACCGATTCTCTCTGGCAGGGGCTGAGTGTCGAAGAGCAGTCTGAATATGCCCAGGACTTCTATCAGAATATGGCTGACCGGCTGCAGAGCCGCTGGAAAGGTATATTTTTTTCCTCTTCTCTCTCTCTCTGAGATGGTCCTGCTGAGGCTCCCGGGGAAGTCTTCACTCATCCTTGAGTCAGGGTGGGGACAGGTTCCGTGTCCCCAAATGCTCATTCTTGCTTGGAAAGATCTTTCCTTCCACCCTAAGAGAAGGAAAGTCAGACTGAAATAGCCATACGGTCCATTCCTTGCCAGGCTTAAGGGGCTGTGATTCTAACATACAGAGCCCTGAACGGTTTGGGATCTCGTTACCTTTCGGAACGTCTCCTGCCGTGTTTGACCGCCCATCTGACCAGGTGCTCGGAGACCACGCACCCAGGAAGGCTAACACCTCGCGAGGGCCAGAAGAGAACAACTGGAAGCAGGGCCTTCTCGGCTGTGGCTCCTTCCTTGCAAAATATGGTGCCACAGGCACAAACACCGGGCACCCTGGACCTTGAAAAAGCAGCTAAAAATCAGCACTTTTCAAGGAAGCCAGTTTAGAGAGGTTTTTCCTTAATCATTGAATGAGCAGAGGAGATTTGTTTATGCTGATGAATTGTTTTTGCTGCCTGTCTGCTTGTTTGTTGGTTTATTAGATTTTTAAAAAAAATTGTGGTTTATTTTTGTTGAAAAAAAATAAACTCTGAACTGCCAGAGTGTCAGTTGGCTAGATGGGTGGTATTAAAAAAATGAACGAGTGGTATAAAAATTGAATGATTGAAGGAATGAATGCATGAATTTCTGACAAGCCTTATCCATTTCTGACTGCCGTGGTTGTGTCTTGTGCAGGCCTAAAGCCCCTGTTCATGGGTCTGGGTGTCAATTCCTAAATGGTGTTGTTTTTCCATCCCCTTGTACTCAGAATTTGGCTCATCCCATTACATGTTCAATAGCCCACCGTGATGAGCTTAAAGCAGCTACAGCAAACTGTAGGAGAATCGTCCCTCTGCCCCCATTTACAAGGCAGGCTCTCCGACCTTCTTTGCTGGTCCTGCTTTCTGCACTCTTCCCATGGCCTGGGATCTTCTCATTGACCCCCATCGGGGCATCCGCAGCCCTTTTCCTTTCCAAACGAGTGGTCCAGCTTGAAAACTCCCTTTTTTGTTTGGATGGGCAATTCCAGAATCCTCACTAGGGTCGCAACGGAACCTTCGGTCTAGACTTAGGTCACTTGAGCCCCTCCTTACCAGCCTTACAGTCTTGAGGAGCTCAGAGAGAAGAAGAAGCAGCTCCTTACCTTTCCTTGGCAGAGAAGCTGGGGGGACAAAAGGTGCTTCTAGCAGACGCCGGGCACAAGGGTTAACAACCCCTTGTTTCTCTGGTCGCTCTGCACATGGTCAGAGAACGCAGCGTATGTGTATGAGTGAAATAGCAACAAGCCAACATGGGTGGCCCTCTACTTATGGGACTTGGATGCTTACGCGGCTGCCTGGAAGGGAGAAGGTTCAGAGACCAGGCCTTTGTTTTCTAGTGTTATATGGAGTGATCTTTGTAAAAGGGGAATGATAGAAATCTTGGGGGAAGGGAACTGTAAATGGCTGTGTGGATCCTCCCTATTCAGGGGCAGTCTAGCTGTTGTCGGAAAAGTTGGCTGCAGATGATGCAAAGGAAGCCGCGACTGTCTTGGCCTTCCTGGGAGCGCTTCTGAGAAGGAACATGCTTCCGAGATTCACCCAGCTCTGTCTTAATCTGGTAGAGCCAATATTAGGAAGCTCCTGGCTCTGAAGAGAAAATGGAGTGGGTTTTGTTTTGTGGAGGGGGGAGTCGTTTACTGCTGCCCCCCCCCAGCCAGAGCATGGGAATTGGAATTGGCACGCACACACCCCCGCCAAGCTGCTGACCCATCGTTGGAGCAAGTGTGGCAATCGAGACAGGTGATCTTTGCCTGTGTCTCCTTTTCAGTGTCTCCCGACAAAGTAGAGAAGGCCATGGATCAGATCGAGAAGTATGTCATGACCCGGCTGTATAAGTACGTTTTTTGCCCAGAAACCACCGAGGACGAGAAGAAAGACCTCACTGTCCAGAAGAGGATCAGGTACGGCTTGGGATTTCCGTCTGTGTGTCTGTCTTTGGGAGTTGGTGAAGGGCACCCGTTCCTGCAAATGGCTTCCCTTCTGGACACTGGGGACAGGCTTTGCCCTTTTCCTCCAGGCAAGGTTGCCGAGCCTCCACCTTGCTCTTTGCTACAGGCCCCTTGAGGTGCATAGTCTTGGCTTGGCCTGGGAGAGCCATCCAGCAGGGTGCAGCTTGCGGGTTAAGATTGGCGACTGCTGTGCCCATCGGGGACACGTATCCGTCTGCATCCCTGGGTGATCTAAGGGTGTTGGGGGATGATGGTATTTGTGGGATCCTTTCCCCCTGCTCCCTCCCCCCGGGCTCAGTTTTGTAGTGATCAAGGCCTGACATTTAAAAAAAGAGAGAGAGATTGAGAGGAAGTAAATAGAACTGTAGAACTGCAAAAGGTGAAAGGGTTGTTCAAAGACCGCCCAGCGAAGGCTTCCTGACGGACACTGGAAAATCTCCCATGACCATCTTCTGGGGATGCTCTTCCCACCCTTGATAGCAAGAGATCACCGTCCTCTTCTGCCAGAGTGTGGCGTCACCGACTTGTCTGCACTCCACCGTAAAACAGGGGCAAAATATAGCCAAGGAAGGGCCAGGTCAGCCTTCCTTTCTCACCCCAAGGAGCTGCTGCAGGAACCCCTAATCTGTTCAGAGAACGTTGTTGCAGGAAGATTTTTAAAAAGCAGTTTTCAGCTCTGGTTGAGCCCGTGGTTGTTGGTTTCATGGCAAGGCGAGCTGGCTCTCGCGTCCTGGGACTGGGATGGCCGTCCACCCTACTGCGCTCTGATATCGGAACCGACCCACCTGTGTGAGTGCAAGGAGGTGGGGGTAGAAGAGGTTTCAGGCTCTCTTTTCAGGTCAACCACGAGGAATTATAAATGATAAGAGGTGCTCTTGTGTTTCGGATAGAATAAAATGAAGGGCCACTTGTAAATTGATTCTGAAAGGTAGTCCTGGGGACAGGCAGAGAGGCAGCTCAGCATCCGCTTGGGGAAAAACGGGAAGGACATCCATGCGTCACCCTTACTCGGGAACAAGTTTTAGAGGCTTTGCTTTGCTTCCTCCCACCCCCAAAGCCTCCTGTTCTCAGTGCAGGGTTTTGCTCACCCAGCCCTGGATGTTGGCTGCTCTCCATTGCTTAGCTGGGCAGCCCTGAACTCCAAACAGATCTTAGTTTCTCTCCTCCACCCCTCAAACCCCCCCTCTCCATCTTGCTTGCAGGGCCTTGCACTGGGTGACCCCACAGATGCTCTGCGTTCCCGTTAACGAAGAGATCCCCGAAGTCTCGGATGTGGTTGTGAAAGCCATCACAGGTATGGAAAAAAGGGCTGCAGGGTGATGGACGTGGTTCACCAATGAACCTGACCGATTAGGGATCTGGGGCCGTTTTGCTGCCCCTTTTAGTGAGACCGGCTGCAGTCACCCTCATGCGAGAAGCGAGGCTTGTATACCTGTAGGAGACTTTCATTATATTGAGCAGTCACCGAACTAAATAAAACCAAGCTGACTTAGATACTCAGATCCCCTGCAGGAATTTGCATGGATTATATGAATCTGGTAGTATTAAGGGAAACACGCTTTTTTTTAAAAGGGAGTGGGGGAGTGTATAGTGATACTGCAGTAGCTTGCATAATCTTGGAGGCCTTCCGCCTTGTCTGACTTCCATGGGGGAAACAGCACTGGTCGTCACAGTAATTAAAAACCCAAACAACAAAACCTCCTGATGAATTGAGGGCAACTTTCTAGCCAAGTTGATTAGTCAGGGAATTAGCTTGATTAGGTATTTGGGGGCCCTGCAACGATTGACTCACGATGGCCGTTCTTTTAGAAGGAGCGATGGCGTGAGAGTTAGCCAAAGCACCCTGAAGTGTCCTCGTATTTTCCTAAGCACTAGGAAAGAGTCCCAGCAACACCTACAAAACCTGCCTTAGACCTTGGGCCCGCTTGCTGTTTCAGAAAGTATTAGGAAGCATTAGATGGTGTGATTTTTAAGTGGTTCTATCAAGGTACCGATCGTGAGATTTTGTGGTTAAAAATCCCACTTCCTCCAGCTGGGCTTTGCCCTTTTATGGAGAGTGTAGAGGAAACAGGCCCCCAAAATTAATGGCAAGTCTCGGTGCTGAGTTTGCTTGCACGAGGGGAATCCACTCGGGTTGCAGTGGAGTGGTGTGGCGTTTAGGGGCAGACAGAGAGTCATTGGCAAATCCTTTGTTCGGAGTCTGGGATGGAAAACTCTAAACCCTGCTGACGAGGGAAGGAGGGATACCTGAGATTACGCCTCCCAGCGGACCTTGCCATTTGAGTCTGTGCTCATCTCACCCCAGCAGACTCGGCACAGACCTTCTGCTTGGCATTTTGGGCAAGGTGTGTTTTTTTTTGCATGCTCCTTGGTGATGCCCAGCCTGATGAAGGGGGTATTGGGGTTTAGTTTTTTTTTTTTAACTCATAAAAACTTGCAATTTGTGTGATTTTTATTTTTTGAAGCAGTCCAAGAGAGGTGCCGCCTAACGCTTGCGTCTTTGCTGTCCCACAGACATCATCGAGATGGACTCCAAGCGGGTGCCGCGGGACAAGCTGGCCTGCATCACCAGCTGCAGCAAGCACATCTTCACCGCCATCCGGACCACCAAGAACGAGCCGGCGTCGGCCGACGACTTCCTGCCCACCCTCATCTACATCGTCCTGAAGGGCAACCCGCCCCGCCTGCAGTCAAACATCCAGTATATTACCCGTTTCTGCAACCCCAGCCGGCTCATGTCTGGGGAGGATGGCTATTATTTTACCAACCTAGTGAGTATGCCTGGCAAGCAGGGTGTGGGTGTCTTTCTCTCTGGGGCATGAGGGGGTGCAGATAGGGCCGCTTCTACTCCCCCATGGCCTTTGACATCATTCCCTGGTTTTCCAGCACTCTGTGAAAGCTGCCTTTTCCATTCTTATCACCACCCAGGATCATATGATCACAGAAACATAGACATGTGTTCAGTGGTCCTCCCCCCCCTCCGCTTTTAGATCTTGGATCTCAAATCAGAATATGTCACAGCGATTATGCCGTGCCCTTACACCAAGGGGAAATTAGCAAGAGCTTGAAAGCCAGAGGCTTAGTTCAAAGAATATTTCCTCAGCTACAAAGTACAGAAGGATGGATTAAGCAACAGTTTTCATAGCAGCGTGTACAGGGAGGGCTACGTGGGCAGGAGGGGGAGAGCGCAGGAAAACGCCCACCCAAATCAAAAAACACAGGAAGGTAGAATTAGCAGGGAGCTGGAAAGAGCCCCTTCTCAATGGAGGAAACGCAGGTACCGCTGGCAGGTGGAAGACTAACCAGTCCAGAAAACTCCAACAAAGGAGAGGCCTCCATCTTCTGGGGAAGTCCATTTGACAAAGGGTGTGTGTGTTCAGTCCGGGTTTGCATGCCTCCAAGCTTAAACATTTCCCAGAGGAGGCTTTTAAAAAAGATTTCAGCACAGAGCTGGGGCTGTCCGTTGAGCAAAATTAAACCATGCTGCCGAGTCGCACGGTACTGTCCCCAGGTGACTTGGATTGAGTCCACCACGTGGCAGGAGGACGTGCCTGGTCCTGTGGTGGAAGCCGTCTCTGAGTGGGCCACGCTCACCCTGGGCCCTTCTTTCCATGCCTGTCATGCGCTGGCTTTTTTTTTCCTGCAGTGCTGCGCCGTCGCCTTCATCGAGAAATTGGACGCTCAGTCCTTGAACCTGAGCCAGGAAGACTTTGACCGCTACATGTCGGGCCAGACCTCTCCAAAAAAGCCAGAGCCTGACCACTGGCCAGCCGACGTGTGCGTGGGGGTCCGGCAGATGTACCGGAACCTTGACCTCCTCTCCCAGCTCAGCGAGAGGCAAGAGAGGATTGTGAGCGAGGCCAAAAAGCTCGAGCGGGACCTCATTGACTGGACCGATGGGGTCACAAAGGAGGTCCAGGAGATCGTTGAAAGGTACCCGCTGGAAATCAAGCCTCCGAACCCCGCCTTGGCCGCCATTGACTCGGAAAACGTGGAGAACGACAAACTGCCCCCACCCTTGCAGCCTCAGGTTTATGCCGGATGATCATCCGGGATCCTGGCACACTGGCGGCGTTCCTCCCCTCAGCTTTCCTCTCCTTGGAAGGTGGGCTTAAAGAGGGACAGAAAAGAGTTTAAAATCAGCACATGTTAAAGGTACTATGGGCTGGTATCCTGTCCACAGCTATTTATTTTAATCAGTATCGGTAACTGAGGAACTGCCTGTTTCTGCACTCCTGAACCGAGCTTAACGTTCTCCTTTTTTTTACAAACACACCCACCCACACAAAACCCCTAATATAATTTTGAAGATCTTGATTTGGCGATATTCTCCTCTCTTCCAGTTGTGTAATTCCCTGTGTTTATATGTACTTTTTTGGGGGGTAGACCTCTCCTGTCCCTCTTGAAACATATATTATCAGCATTTTGCGAAGAACGCCAATTCGGAGGTGAACACGTTAAAAGGTACTTAAAACCGTTCAGTTATCAGGAAAAGGAAGACTTTTGTTGTAAAGTAAATATTTAAAACTGTAAATAGCTTGGATGTTTTGGGTGGGAGTGTCTAGCTTGCATGGCCTTTTGAAAAAGATTTGGTTTTTCCTTTCCATTTTCCTTCGCTGCTTACAGTTTTATCCCAGGAAACTTTTGGGTGGGAGGGGAAGCAGGAAGGAAGCACCCTATCGTAGGAAACAACTCCTGTTGACTCGGCCACAACAGGACTGAGGACGTTCTAACCTTTGTGACTTCTCTTCTGATTTTTCTTCCAAAAGAAAGAAATGAAAGAAAGATAAGCTTTCCCTTCTCTCTTGTGTTGGCTGGCCTCAGGAGCACAAGTGAGGATGTTTCAATAGCAGTATACAGTTAGCCGGAACCTCCGTATCTGTGGGATGTGAACTCTCCGAAAAATAACCAAGAATGCATTTTGCCAGTGCAATGATGCTGCCCCTGTGCTCATTCCTCCCCTGCTTTCTTAACAGAAGTAAAAATCCTGAAAACCTTCTGGCTTCTCGTCAGCCCACTGCAAGGCTTGCCAAGAATAGGTTGGGGTGGTAACAGTTGCTCCTTGAGATGGGAAGATCAGCAGGGAGTTGAATCCGTGCCCAGCTTTCCTGGGTCGCTTTTTGGTGAGTTGGATGGACTGTTCCCCGAGGATTCACCCTGGCAGAAATGGATGTTTGCATCCCAGCATCCAGGAGGGTGACCTAAATATTCATGGGTTGGGGAGGAGGAGGACGTGCTGATCTCCGCTCTTCCTGGACCTCCATGGATTACTTAGCAGTACAGAAGAGGGGAAAGGAAGAGCTGTTTCCTCTGAAACATGTAGATATATATCTATATATATCTATATCACTGTTGAATCCATTGTTTCGGGGGGGTGATTGTTGTTGTTGGTTTCTGCCTCCCTTAAGTACAGGCTTTCCAGTGTTCTTAATAACCTGGATTGTTCTGCTGGTTGAATCATCTTCACTTTTGCCTTTTCTGGAAGAACAGAAGCAGTGCTTATGCTCTCGGCCACTAAATTCATCTCTTGTGTGTCTTTGTGAGACTTGGGGGAGCAAGGGGTTGGCCCACACGCGGTAACACGTGGACAGCACTGACAAATATCTAGGAAAACCGGCCTTCCCTGGAGACATCTTCCTCACATGTGGGTCTTCTACCACCCAGATTGTGTGAGATGTCCTCTGATCCAGGGGGAAGACACTCCATGGAAGACAGTTGATAAGCAAAAACCTGTTTACAGTGTTAACTTCTCTTGTGTTGCAATGGGACACTTTTTAAAAAGAAAAATACCTAAACTACTTTCCTCGAAGTTCCTTTTTTATCTTAATTTTGTCTGTGGGAGCAATAAATTACTTTGAAGTTGATCTCCTAGTCTTGTTAGGGACTTCTATTCCCAAGCCACATCTTTAAACTCATCTGTGCAGGCTTTATAGCTTTCCCTGGGTATATATTTTTTGGGGGTGTGTGCAATAGGGTCAGACCAAGACTGCGCTCTGTTTTGTGTTCGTCCAAGGAAGAACCTTTCTTTTTAAATTTGATCTGAGCGATGTGCTTTTCAGACTCCTCAAAAGTTAGTTACCCTTAACTTATGTGAATGAGTGGGTCACCTAGCTAGGTGTTCGTCCCTGTCTGTTCTAGAAAAGATTCCTTCCTGGTCCGAAGCTTCCTTTCTGGACCACTTGCCTCCTTGCGTGACACCTTAGGTGCTAATTTTGGTTTCCAGGTACACCTTTTCACTCCTGAACCATATTATAGCCGCTGTTACTGCAACTGCTGTCAAATAAAATGAAAGCCTGTACAACCAAGACTCCTTGTCACTTTGCCAAAGCTTTACTTTCGCCTTGGATTACCTTGATTTTTGTCCGTGAAAACTTTAAGCTTTGGGGTGGGGGGTGGGATTCTGCTTTCTGCCTAAAAGGGCATGGAAAGATGTGGCTGAGGAATTTGCATTTCTGATTTCAGAGGTTTGGGTACCAAGGGGTAGGGAATCTCAGCATGGTCAAAAAGCATATTTTAGATTTTTTTTTTGCTAGCCAGAGAGAGACTGAGGCTAGAGGGAGGAATATAATCCAAGAGGCTAATTTGTGCATTTTCTCTTACTTTAAAAATGCAGTGGGTTTTGTGAACGGGGTAGTCGGGAATCTACCCACATCTAGAAAGCAGCACCCTCCTCATTGATTTTTGTACTGAGCAAATGTAAAAGTTTGAGGCTAATCTTTCGCACTTCCATCTAATTTGCGCCCAGCAGGTGAGAAAGACAGAAAGCCACAGTTTGAGAAGGACCTCAGAGGCTATCAAGCCCTCCATCACTGCCTCCACCAAGTTTGGGCAGGAAGCCCACTGCTTAGAGCAGCTGCCAACCACGGCGGATGGAAAGAATTCGTCGGGAGCGTTCGCAGCGAGATGCAGAATAGATAGCGCAGGGTACGCTTGGTAGAGACACCCATCTTTACAGATTTTGGTTCAGGGGAAAATTTAGTTCCCAGAGCTCTGAGGCGTACACTTTGAATTGCACATTATGGACTGAAATGTTCTCTGTTTCGCCTGCTTTCAGCGGCCGCGCAGTAATCAGACAAGACACTCTCAGAGTAGACTGATTTGCCTGGGCGAGCACCTGCTCCGCTCTTCCTTCTAGCAGCATCGTTTGGTACCCACGGCTAGAGGGTGTGCTCCATTTATCTCCCTGTAAAGTACTGGGTAAGTCAATCAGTAGAGGCGGCTGATTTAATTTATTTAAAAGTAGCGACAAGTTGCAGGCATTTGTAGGGAAGGGCTCTTTCCTTCCTTTGCCGCTGTTGAAAAACATTTGAATGCAGAAACACCCTGTGAAAATAACATTAACGTGTCTGTCTTGCCAGTCTGGGCTGGCCACTTTCTGTGCGAATAAATTAAAGTCTGTTTAGAGGGAAACCCGAGAGGGTGAAAAAGGAAAGGAAATTTGTCACCGGCTCTGTAGCCACCGTATTTCTTAAATCTGCAAGTAATGCTGTTGCGTGTAAAACTACAAACACATGCTTCTCTTATCAATAGTAATTGTTTTATGTACAGTAGGACTCCCTTATCCATGAATCACTATCTGCTGATTCACTTATCCACGGTCTGAAAATATTTTTTAAAATCCCTGAAATACATAATTTTAAAGATGAACTTACCAGAGCTGGCCACTAGAGAGAGCCAGAGACCATGCTATGTACAGTGGTGCTTCGCATAACGAGTGTCGCATAGCGATCTATTTTTTTAGATCACTAATGCGACCGCATTGCGATGGTTAGATAGGGCGAAAATCGCGTTTCGCTTACCGATCTTCGCATTGCGATGTTCCTAGAACAGGTGTATAGTGCTTGCTAGCGTTTGCTCTTACCTACGTTTTTCAGCATCAACGGGGAGGGGACGGACTTAGAACTGATCCCCCGCGGATATTGAGAAACAGATGTCATAATAGCACTAGAACAGAAGGCAGGTTGCTTTTTTAAAAAATAGCATAGTCTAAGAGTGACCCCTTCCTTGTTGCTGGGCCCATAATGAATTTTCAGCTAAACCAGTCCTGTTACCGAGTGCCAAAATGGCGGCGCTATGGAGGAACTTCGCTCAACGGTGAGTTTGGGCCCCATAGGAACGCATTAAACCAACTTTAATGCGTTCCTATGGGTTTTTTCGATCCGTTTAGCGATGTTTCCTCGTAGCGACGATTAATCCGGAACGGATTAACGTCGCTATGCGGGGCACCGCTGTACAGTGCTTGCTAGCGTTTGCTCTTACCTATGTTTTTCAGCATCAACAGGGTGGGGGGACAGGGACGGACTTAGAACTGATCCCCTGTGGATATTGAGAAACAGATGTCATAATAGCACTAGAACAGAAGGAAGGGTTTTTTAAAAATAGCATAGTCTAAGAGTGACCCCTTCCTTGTTGCTGGGCCCATAATGAATTTTCAGCTAAACCAGTCCTGTCCCATCCTTCAGGCTGGATGAGACCCATGGATGACCCTCCATGTCTAGCCTCTCAGCGGTTGTTTGCTGTTACCCCTGGCGAAAGCTCCCGGGTGTTTCTGAAGGCAAAAAAACCCTCACCTGGAATTGAGCTCTGGTTTGAAGCTAAAGGGAGGAAGTGGCACTGCGGGTTAAACCTCAGAAGCCTCTGTGCTGCAAGGTTGGAAGACCAGCCATCGTAAGATCGAATCCACGCGACGGAGTGATCTCCCGTCGCTTGTCCTAGCAGTTTGAAAGCATCTAAAAATGCGAGTAGATAAATAGGGACCACCTCGGTGGGAAGGTCATGGCGTTCTGTCTCTCGTCGCGCCGGCCACGTGGCCACGGAAACGGTCTTCGGACAAACGCTGGCTCTACGGCTTGGAGACGGGGATGAGCAGCGCTCCCTAGAGTCAGACACGACTGGACTAAATGTCAAAGGGAATCTTTACCTTAAACCTTGGAAGTGAAAGGAGCACAGCTAGGTTTTGTTTTCTGACTTGTAAAGGCTCCTCTGCTCCCTCTATTAGGAAGCACTCCTCTGGAAGATGGTGGGGTCTGGGTGGGCAGTGGGGTGCAGGTAGTTGTTTGCTTGACCTGTGTCTCAGGAGACATGGGTTCAAATCTGCTTGCTAGTGAACCGAGCTGAATATGGGCTACACCCTCAGAGCTCAAGCTTGCCTTCCCAAGTCGTTGAGGGACAAACGGAAACCGTTAAAAGAAAGGAGGGATATAAATGAATCGCGAAAGAACCTGGAATAATCCCACTGGGCAGTATATTGATGGACCATGAAATTTAGGGAAGGATGGGAAAATGCTGCAAGAATCATATAAAATCTTAGATTATTTCTGAAGGAATAAATGCTTAAAAGTGGATACTGATGCCGCAGATAAGGAAGTCTTACTGTATATATTTAAGGGCGTTAAAATATTACTATTCAGGACAGTTCTCACACTTCCTGTAACGCTCAGAAAGGGCTGTCAGTGTCTAAGGATTTGGTTCATCAGAGGCAGAGTTTCAGGACTTGGAAGAAGGTGACCAATTCTCACGCTTCCTGTAACGCTCAGAAATGGCTGCCAGTGTCTAAGGATTTGGTCCATCAGAGGCAGAGTTCCCGAGAGTTTCAGGACTTGGAAGAAGGTGACCAAGGAAAGAGGTCTTCATTGAACCGACTGTCAAGAACGGCTGTTGGGTGACACCCAGGAGCCTCGACAGGGCTGTCGCAGTCTCTAAGGGGCGGCCCCAGGTTGCAGGCCCATCCGCCTGGGTTTTTGCCGCAGGGGGGCTGATCAACAGCACCACTCCGAAGCCTTGCGAAATGGCCCTGCTGTTGTCAGCTGTGAGGTGCGGATCTCTTTGATGGGGTTACACATGTTGGTGGAGTGTGATTTATTGAAGGGAGTTTTCTGGGAAAGGAAAGGAAACCACTTTTTCTGGTCCTGGGGAAGGTTCAGAATCCCTGCAGGTTCTCGGTGGGTGAGGGAAAGACTTCGCAGGGATAAGAACTTTGTATGTGTGTGGGAAACTGGGTGTCCTTGAAATAGCTGGATGATGTCATCCTAGGTTAACGATGGCCACTGTTCTTGTATAGTGCAGTCCTCATTTTTGAAACTGGCCCGCAGTGTGGGATGCTGTGCGCCAGAAGAAAAGCCAACGGGCAGCATCTTGCCAGTTTTGCCTTGCGTTCTCATCTAACCGTTGGATCTCCAATGCTCCTGACCTAAAGACTGCCTGTCACTCTCTGTTTTTTTGGTCTAAGTCAGTCCAAAGGGCCCCCATGTGTCTTGCCAAAAGCAAGGAATAGCTCTATCATCTTCCAGACAAGCTCTTTCTCTGCTTAGAGAGGGGAGATTGTAAACCTCTGCAGCCTCCGCCTTGCAAACCAAGGTGGTGGTTGCAAAAACTGGGGTAGAAATAGCCTGCAGGGCCATGCATTCACCTCGACATTTCTAAAGCGGTGCTCCCTGGTGGCTAGATTTTTGTGGGGCTGGAGGCTGAGTCAACCTCTTCCAAGGTTAACTGAAGGCAGAGCTGCAAACAGGCGCCTGGGGGACCGTGATGGAAGGGTGCGGAGTCACTGCTGTCCAGGAAGCCTCAGGACGTCTGTCCTGTGAACTCTGGTGCCTTTGCAGCCTCCGTTATAATCCAGCGTTCCCAGAAAGCCAAAAGGCTAGGGAGTGCCCTGTATTAAAACATACCTCGGGCCTTATGAAAACAGTTCCGGTGAAATAATTGCCCTTTGGTCATCTTGCTGGAAAAGTCAGGGATGCTGGGGAAATGGAAGGCAGCAGGGGAAGAGGAAGACAGGACACGAGAAGGACTGACTTGTAAAGGAAGCCATGACATTGAGTCTGCCAGATGTGATATGGGACCCTTGGAGGTGGTTGAAATTGTCCCAAATTGGAAGTGCCTTGATGGGACATAACAAGAAGAGGCAAGGCGGTGGGGACCCTGGGTTCGATTGGTAAAGGGTGTTCGTTTGCACTCGTTTGTCCCTGTCAACTCCGAGCGGCTCGTGCCAGCCATTGCAAGGCCGTCTGTCTGCCGCGCATCTTGGCCGTTCATCTTGTTCGAGAAGCCCAGAAAAGAGGAGCCCTCTCCCTGGAGGTGGGGGGGGGTCGGCTCGATTGGTAAATGGTGTTTGTTTGCACTCGTTTGTCTGTCCCTGTCAACTCCGAGCGGCTTGTGCCAGCCATTGCAAGGCCGTCTGTCTGCCGCGCATCTTGGCCGTTCATCTTGTTCGAGAAGCCCAGAAAAGAGGAGCCCTCTCCCTGGAGGTGGGGGGGAAGCCAACCCTTTCCCTTCGGCATTCTGCTTTTCTCTGTCATTGTCCGCT